AATAATTGTACATATGCCAGCGGGTTGTTGTGTTCAACATCTACTTTCACACCAGATGCTCCAGCAAATGGGAATCTTGGGGGCACTGCCTGATCCGTACCACAGTCAATAGAGCACCAAGTTCGCACATTACTGAGCTCAGTCGGAGAATTGTCGCTGTCGTCACTTTCAATGTCTGATGACAAATTTTCCCATGAATCAATAACACTCAATTCAGAAAGTGAATTTAATTTAATGCACTATCACTGTTTTCTAGCTGGTCTAAAACCACATTTGACCTAAAGGGAAGCTTTTTGGATGCCATGGACGTTCTCAAGTTTCCAAGCAGAAAGAACGTCAAAAGTGCAGGCAGGACACTGGTCAAAGCACTGGGGAAAAACTGAGGTGAAAAGGTTTGATACAGTAATGTAATCCTAACAGATCACACTGTATGACAATGTATTTTATGTGTACTTATTAAAATTTCCCACCTGGTTCCGGCCACCTGCACCACTACAGGGAAGGGAACCTGAAAGACGAATGCTGGCATCGGGTGGAGGACACCAGAGGTTTGTAGGGACAAGGTAAGTGTAATCCCGAACGTGGCTTGAAGTTCCCGCTTTTGGTACTGAAAATTAAACCCGAGCATACCGCCAGGGAGGTTAAAAGAGCAGTGATAAGCAAATTCCCTAGTCCAGGGGTGCTCAAAAGGGAGATCCTCAGTTTGTTGTAGAACTACAGCTCCCATGATGCTTTGCATGCCTTTAAAATGACAAAGCATTGTGGAAGCAGTAGTTTTAAAACATCTGAGGACCTACTTTTTGAGCACACCCACGGACATTCGTACTATCCGGAGAGCTCAAGATTACATTACCAGCTAGGCTGGTGCTAGACCAAGACATTGTGCCACTTGGGGCAGTGATCCAAAAAATAAAGGATAATTATATCATAGAGAAGCTCACAGCACACATATACAATTTGTCATCTTCGTTTCAGTAGACGTGGCTCTTTCCTTCTATTTCAAAGATTTTCTTTCTTTTTATTACTTATATAGCGCCATCAGATTCCGTAGCGCTGTACAATGGGTGGACTAACAGACACGTAATTGTAACCAGACAACTGGACATAACGGAACAGAGGTGAAGGGCCCCGCTCAATTAACTTACATGCTTTCTTCTCTGACTTCCTTCAATTTACCTTTTTCTTTAGAACTAGAAAATCTCAAATGGGAATGTACAAATACGACCACTTGTTAAATAAAAATTAAAAAAAAAAAAGTACTGAGTAATTCTCATTAACTATTCTACATTCATCTTACTTTCTCTGGCAAAACATGTTCCAAATGGCTACTTCTGTCATCAGGTCAGGGGATCTCGATATCTAATGTCCACTTGACCAAAGGTCCCTTCTGACTTATCGGCCTCTGTTTCGATTCCATATTTACTTAGCGTATGCTCATTCACCATTGTCTCGAGATTTCTATCATCATAAGATTCCTTCACAAATGGATCCCTCCCGCCCAACCTTTCTGTCACAATGTAGAATTCCCCCTCTAGGGTGTAAGCTCAAAACAGTTGTTTCAGTATGCCTAATATATTTATCTAATTTGTGTAATTATCAATTTATTTTTGCATTAATTGTAAAAACCCTATAGATAAGACTGCTTTAGAAGACCTGTTATATACATGTCCAATTCAGGGATGTACAACCTGGTTTCTCAACCTGTGGTCAGGGGGTACGCCAAGAATCACGTCCATATTTATTACAAGGCCACCACAACAGGGAAAATTAACTAAAGCTCTCAGCAGCCAGAGCACTCTGGCCCTTTTCTGAGGCTGGTCAGAATAAGCTGTCTGCACCCATTGGGGGAAGGGAGGAGGTGCAGACATGCAGCTTCTCCCACCACACCAAGATACCCCACTTCTTGGCTTAAGGTAATACTCAAGGAAGGGGGAATAAGCTTAAGTTTCAATTTATTTTCTTAAACAAAAAGGTTCACCCCTATATTCATTGACCCGCAGTACAGCCCGTCCCATCCATCCCCCTTTTGAGACAAAGCTATGTTTGCTTGTCAAATTCCGCTCTGCGTGTCAGTCTCCCGTGTGTTATTATATTTTCATTTAGACTTTTATACTTCAGATAAGTTGTTCATATACTGCCTTTTAGATACACAATACTCACTTTGTCAGATTTTTTTTTTTTTAAATATATATATATTTTACTACCTTTAGTCAGGTTTATTCTCCAACAATTTTTTTTTTTTTTTTTAAAGACCTTGAGGTACTACTCTGTACAAGGTTGAGAAACACTGCTATACATTTTTACTGGGGAAAAAAAAGCCACAATAGTTTTTGAGTGGTTATAAATCATATAACCAAAACTTGATGACAGATTAGACTCCATGAATATATCAAAGAATGTGACTGAACCAATACTTTTCATACAAGGAAGAGTAAAGTATGCCAAATACAGCAAGATTAATTCCAGTTTGTTTACCTATATGGAAAATAAACCTGGTAAAAGAAAATAAACCTACCTGAAATCGCTCCCATATACATTGAATATACCATATGACATCAACATGCATGGTGTATTTAATGTAAAATATGAAGATTTACTAACTTTCCCTCCATCCCAGCACTATTTTGTTGGTGTTTCGCTCTTGGTTTAACACCAAACTCCTGGTCTCTTCTTTGATTTGCTCTGCATGAGAAACATACACAAGTAGGGCAATTCTCGTCAGTGACGTTGACACGCTGCTAGCTTTCATAGCAACTGCAGCTCAGAGGGACCTTCTGTGGAAGGTATTTTCTGCTCTCCCTTGTCAGTCAATGCCTAAACCTTAACTGACAGCTGGGAGGAAAAAACTAAATAGATTTTTCTCCTAATCTATACATTTGCTAGCACAATATATATACATAAATTTCTCAATCTAATGATCATAAGTTGTTTGTGGGCGTAAAAGGAAAGAAAGGAAAAGGACTGCTGTGTAAGTAATTTGCCACCGAAAAATGTACGGCTTTTGGCATGATACTGTATCAGATGCTTGTGCACCTTAGAGAGGGTTTCACGTAAACTACATTTTGCAATTTGAGATCAAAGATTGGTGTGTAAAGGTCACCTGTTAACACATTAGTGTAAAGTCTAAAGCTAATAAAGAACAATACAACCACAAATAAAAAAAATATATACTTCTACACTGTGCAGTTTATGCTCCAAATTCCTTTAATTATTTTGATTATCTAGCTCCTTGATGGTGGCAAGCCCACAAGCTTGAGCAGGTGACATTTTTGACAAGATCATGAAATGGATTCACTCTGACACAAGTTAAAATACTTGAATGTTCATTAAATTTTCAGAGAATGTAAATATTCTCATAAATAAAGAGACTGACCGGAAAGTCCTATTTGAGAGAACAAAAAAATAAAACAAAACGTTTAAATTCTAGAAATTCAATATGGCAAACGTTGACAGCTTATACACACAACTCAATCTTTTGTCATTAGAATTTTTTTTTTTTTTTAAATAAATGTTCCTTAAGTTAGTGGGAGCTTTTTTTTCTTCCTTTCATTTACGGCACAAAACAGTGCAGAACATTTCAATCAATCCAACAATGAACTGAGCAGAAATCAATACAGAAAAAAGAAACATCACCACACTTGTCAACATGTAATGCCCTGGGGTTTATTTTGTGAGAATTCAGTCACAATTTCTTGCCAGGTGGGATTAAAAACCTCAAGGATAATGTATGCCATTGGACTGGGCATTCCGACTTCGGTACTGACGCTTTAGTAGTCTGTAAAGTACCATTCTCTTCACAGAAGAGAGGTCAAATATTTCCAAAGGAAGGCACCCGATAGTTGTGGTTCTGGCCTTGCAGCCTTCTGGAGAATTGCAAAAGAAAAAAAGAAAAACAAGGAGAAAAAAAAAAAAAAAAAAAAAAAAAAAAGCTGGCTGTTTTAGAAACTGGAATGATGATATACGTACAGCAATTACTGCATTCTTCTCCCTTATATCCTTTTTTTGTTAACAAGAATGAAGTCTTTAACAATTACACAATAAAAAAAATACTATTTTTTTTTAAAGTTGTTTTTCTTTTTTTTAAAAAGGACAACATAAAAAAAAAAAAAAAACCAAGAGAAAAAAAAATAAAAAACAAACTCCAGTTATATGGACTCCGTTTTGCATACTTGATTTAACACTTTTTGGTGTAGGAGGAGATGGGGCAAAAGGGGTTTGTTTGTAAAGCAGCAACAAAACCTTAGTGCCTTAAGTACCAAAAAACAAAAATAAGAAAATCACCCACACAACGTACAGGTGAATGGGGATGGGAAGATTTGTGAGACTTCATTATTATCTTGCAATTTGTGATATCCGTACAGGAAGATCCCAATTAGTACATTCCCCATTTATAAATGATACCTTTTTATAATCTGTATGTATGTCACCATTTCTTCACATGATACACAGAGAACTCAGGGACCCATTGAGGAACCAAAGTTATGTTATACCATTTACAAAATACCAAGGAGTCCACAGCTACCTAACACATTTACTACAGCACAGGAACCAATGAAGGTACAGTGTACAAAACTGTAAACACGGCACAATAAATAGATAAAACAGCAGGTTCCGCACCATGCACATGATGTGATGACACTTCTCATCTCTATACAATCTCACACTCTTACTTTGTTGCAATTTGTTTCCCGTTACCCCCCAGTGCAAAGCATCACAAATGAACAGTTCTGTATTCAAGTAACATATATACAAGGGTTTTACAAATATGCAGTACTGTACAGATAATTGCTGTATTCATAATTTACAGATGTTTATTCTTTCCTATTAACAGTACAAAAAGAAAAGAAATCAAAGCATGAGAGATGTGCATTGCTGTTGAGTCCCCACAGCCGCCATGGAAACGCAGTGTGCCGCTCCCCTTCATCTCTTGCATTCATAATGCTACTGATGCATAGCACCTAAACAAGTTCCCAAGGCTGAAGTCCTGCTTCTGTAGAAAACTACGTCACCTCCATTGCTACTGTGTTATCTGTTATACTGTTCAATGCTGGCTTTTCTGTTTCATGGTTTTCCCTAAGCAAAAAAAAAAAAAAAAAAAAAAAGAAAAGAAAATTAAAGTACATTATATTTAATTTAATAGAGTAAAGTATACAACATACAGTTCCTAAATGTACAATTATGTACATGAATGAGAATATGGTTTTACTAGCTAGTTAGATTTTAAAATGACAAACATCTCTCTGCCCTTTTGCCTCCTCCTCCAAAGTTAAAGTGACACTCCAGACCCCTAAAGCACTTCAGCTTGCTAAAATGAACTGTAGTGAAGAGAAAACCAAATTTCAAAATGCAGCCCAAAACAGGTTTGGAAAAAATTGGAAAACCGAGCTACACAAAACCCGATTTCATTAAACTTACTTTTGAAATTTTCATACACTTACACATTTTTAATCTTTTACAGTTCTAAGATCCACATAAGATGCAAACTGCAAATGCAGCAGATCCCTTTTCAGCATGAGATAATGACAATTTAAAAATAAAATAGTGCCAGCTATATATCATGCTGTCAAACATAAAATGACTGTAGAAATTTCTGCTGCCATTTATACATTGATAATGTGGTTGTTTTTTTGGCACTTTCTTCTACTGGCTGGCTTACCTGCAGTGACACCATGTGGACGGTTTGGTAACTGTATTAGGTTAGACCTTAAAATGATGCATGGCTTACACAATACATAATTAGTATTGCAACAGCCTACCTGAAAAGGTAATATCATTGCAAACACACAAAACAAACTACACTCCTACCTATGTGCAACACTGTTTGCCTTTGAATAGTCTTTTCCCCCCATTCTATTCATGTCATTTTATTATTGGCATTTATGTAGTGCCAAAATATTCTGCAGTGCTTTAGGATTATAGAAATGGAATATTTAGATGTGAAGAGATCACTGCTCACACAAGCTTACATTATATCTGTCTAGGCACTGTATAGATCTATAAAGAAAAAGGTTTACATTGCAAATTGTTTGTCACAAGGCATGCCACGGAATGTTTGGATAATGCAGATCACATGTTCATATTTGTATCCTGAATACCTCCCCCCACCACCCTTTCCAATAGACACATTCCATGTTGTGCATTTAAGGCGACGTGCCAGACCACTAAAGATTCAGTGCCTTAGGTTTTAAGAGTGCATCCTCTTTTCCACATTTTACAAAAAGTACAGTTGTCCGACAACCGGTCTAGTTACTTCTGGGTATTTAGCTCACTGAAGCAAAACTCAAGATGCAGGCAACTGTCCAAAGCACCTGCAGTGCAAAGATGTCTCATTGAGCAGCATTGGGAAGTAAGCTGATCAGTCAAATTAAAACCACTGACAGGTGAAGTGAATAATATTGATTATATTGTTACAATGGCTCCTGTCAAGGGGTGGGATATATTAGGCAGCATGTAAGCAGTCAGTTCTTGAATTTCATGTGTTGGAAGCAGGTAAAATTGGCAGGCAGAGATCTAAGTGACTAACAATGGCAAATTAGTGATGGCTAGACGACTGGGTCAGAGCATCTCCAAAACAGCAAGTCTTGTGGGATGTTCCCGGTATGCAGTGGTTAGTACCTACCAAAAGTGGTGCAAGATAAGACAACCAGTGTACCAGCATCAGGGTCAAGGATGCCCAAAGCTCACTGATACACGTGGGGAGCGGTGGCTAGCCCGTCTGGTCCGATCACACAGAAAAGCTACTGAAGCTCAAATTGCTGAAAAACGGAATGCGGTCCATGATAGAAAGGTGTCAGAACACACAGTGCATCACAGTTTGCTATGGGGCTGCGTAGTCGCAGACCAGTCAGAGTGCCCATGATGACCCCTGCCCACCATCGAAAGCGCCTTCAACGGGGACATGAGCGTCAGAACTGGACCATGGAGCAATGGAAGATGGTTGCCTGCTCCGATGAATCACATTTTCTTTTAGATCAGTTGGATGGCTGTCAGATTGTCGGGGCTATAGCATCATGGTTTATATATTAAATGGTGAATCTGAAAATGGATTTGTCAAATTTAAGATACATAAGCAAAGTTGTGATAAAAGCAAATAATTATAGAATTTTTTTTAAACTACTAAAAACTATTCTGGCCTGAAATTTGCAATTCGGTTTTAAATTATTTTTACTGTTTAGTGGATAAACACCATTAAAAGGTTTGTCTTTTCAATTCCAAAAAAACGACAGGATGCAATTTTCTAAAAACTTGTTTTGTTGCTGAAAGCAAAGTAACATTCAGTTTGACTATGGTGTAGCTTTACACAACACTAAGAGCCTCCTACACAGCACTGAAATATTTCAACATGTGCTTGACTTTCCAACACTATCTGGTCATATTTAATTCATACGATGTGTTTACCAAATCGCAGGTTAATATGTGTGTTCAAAATACATTTTTGGCAGGAGACAACAAAAACCAATCCTTGCAATACCAGAAGAAAAAACTAAATACCTGCAAGAATTAAATGACCTTCAATTGTTTGCATTTTGTATCATTAAAGAACACATTTCACAAAAAAATAAAATAAAAAGGATTAATACAGAAAATGTTTGTTTCTTTTTAATGGTCTCTAGTTTGAGGGTTTTAATAATAAAAAAAATCAGGAAATTGTTGTATCCTGAGCACTCAAATTGGATGCTCACTGGCAATGAAAAGTTAAAAAAAAAAAAAACAGGTTGGGATCTACCTGGTGACCACCACAACATTGAAAAGAACACCGTTATATTTGTTTACACTTTGCTACACAAGCAGGATTATTCACTCAAATGAAAATTCAACATGAATTTCAGTTTTAAGGTTTGAGTAACTGAAATTAAAATATAACTGCCTTAGAGGATTTATTTTTCAGCTGGGCAGTTTTGACCTTAAATTTGAAATTCACTTTGAATTCTCACTTTAATGAATTACTCTGATAAGTTCATGTTTTGGTTACAACTGATCTTTGGTCATTGTGGCAAAAATATTGTAAATTCCTGTACTTTGGTGCACTACAATTCACTTTAATGCATTGTTTTGGGTGAGCATGATCCTGTATTATATATTATGAGGACAGGTAGTTTCTCTGAATGGAACTCCCAAACATCAGTGATTAAGTAAAATACTGAAGTGCAGTAATCAATCCTGGATTTGTAAACTATTTCCTTGACCAACATTCAACCGACCTTCCTTTCCTATTCCTAATAGCCTACAGCAAACAACTCAAGTTATCGATTTTAAAACAGTTTACCAGTTCCTCTCAGGAGGAATAAAGGGTTAGAAAGACATGTGTCAATGGCATATGCAAAATACTTTTAGATTGACAGAAAACATCCTGTTAGTGTTTGCTGGTAGGGATGTACCAAATATATACGTGTGTGTGCAGGTGACAAGTATCTTACCTTGGTACTGCATCCACTGCAGATGCTGCTGGAATCTTGGGTACCTGACAATTTGCTGCTGCAGCAGCCAGTTTTAAGGCAGATGAAGGAACAGTACTTATAGTCCTAGGTAAATGGCGTGCATTGAGGGTGTTGATAGAGTTTACAGTGGCAACGGAGGAGGGTACAGTTAATCGGATGTTATTCCCAATCAGGACCTGAGTTGTTGCAGAATTGGCAGCAGTCACTTGGTGACTCAGAGTGCTGTGGGAACTAGCAGTTTGTGTAATATTGGAAGGCTGTAGCAAGGCTGAACCTGTTGAAGATGCCGATTGACTTGTACGTACGAGTGCTGCAGATGTATTACTACTACTACTGAGGTGTAAGCCCTTGTATACTCCTGTAAGAAAGTAAATATACATGTGAATTATATGCTTCAGGGACATAATTAGAGATATAATAAAACCCAAAAGAAGTCTCTGTACCTGAGGCTTGAAGGATGCCATTCACTCCAATTCCAAGGACCACGTCATCCTTCATTTTGAAGGCCATCAGCTGTTCGGACGTCACCAAAGCTGTAACTGCAAACTGAGCGCTAGCAGAATCTAATGTCTTGGAAACAAAACCCTATTAAAAAAAATAAAAAAAGGTTAGATTTTTTTTTTTTTAATTGAGCAAGAGGTGGAGGATGGGGGATCAGATTACAATTAATAGCACTTACTGGTGACAGTAAACATTAAAGAGGTATTGTTATGTTTCTATTTATTTTCTCCCAGTACTACATCGTATAATATGTCAACCAGTAAGTGAACCTTACGGAGGTATTGTTTTCTATTTACTTTCAGTATTATATCCTATAATTTCTCCCAGTACACATGCACATGGTGTTATAGCCAGCAGATATTGCATATAAAGGTGAACTTGTCTCTAATGAGTTAACCAGTTAAGGAGACACTATAGGCACAAAGACCACATAATCTCAGAAGTGGTCTGAGTGCAGTGTCTCTGGTTCTACTTTGTCATGCATTGCAAATTAATACAGTTTATGAAAAACTAAGCCTGCCTCTAGTGCCTGTCAGACCAGGAGCAGCAAGGGGGGGTTGGGGACCAGAGGTCTCAATGTTAGGAATAGAGATTTGTATTCCAAACACTATAGAATCCCTTTAATATCTACTGATAATCTAAATGACCCATAATTTCTCTGCAGTTCCTACTTGTCCATGCAAGTTTAGTTTGGCAGTAGATGGCTCCTACTAGGTATCATTTTACTTTGCTTTTCAAGCAGCTCAAATAGGTTTACTGGAGTTGGTGCACTTGCTTATGTTTCAGGGATGGGTGCGTTCTATGTTCTTTATGCATGGCTAATGGAGCTTGTGCAAACTTTATATGTCAATTTGCCATTTAGTATGTGCCAGTAAGTTATAAGGCACATTGATACAGGTGACTGATGGAAAATGTGTATGACAAGAGTATGCTTGGTGAAAGCAAAATTATGTCTTAAAGAAACAATGTCTGCTGATGTGCTAAACATGGAAGAATTTGAATGGAATGGGCAGCAACACTGGGAATGTTATGTCCAATGACTGCTAAGCATGCTCATACACCAGCCAAGGAATAAAATGATTGTATAGGAGGAGTGCACCCTACAGTGTAATTACTGTTCTTATAGCATGCAATAGTACAGGATAGTAGTTCAAACAAGAAAGATTCTATGAACAATTGGTAGGTCAGGTTATTTCCACGGCCGCCTCAATCAGCAGATCTATGGATCAACAAATATTTTTGTAGAAGGTTTGGGGGTAAGCAATAGATTTCAACCCTAAGAGCTGCAGCCTTAGTCTTGAATAATACACAAAGTTATAAACATGTTCCAATACAAACAAACTACCCACAAAGCACCTCATTTGGCCCTTAAAATTATGTGTTCTTTTCAAACCCCCGTTTGTACATACACAAATAGCTGGTGAAGCCTGAAAAGGGGCACTCTATAGACACCAGAACAATTACAATAAATGCTAGTTATTCTGGTGACTAGTCAATCCCTGTAGGCCTTTTCATGTAAAAATGCTATACCTGTGCAGCGTTGGCAGAGGAATTACTATTCGCCTGCTGCTGATGAATCTGAGCAAGCTGCTGTTTCTGCATCAGTGCCAGTTGCTGTTGATGTTGCTGGTATTGTTCGGCTGTAAATGCTGTAAGAAAGAATACGTCACATTATAAATTGATAACGGACCCTACATACCATCATGGAACGGTAGCTGCATAGTAAAAATTTCACACTGAAAAGGATACAGTATAACGGAGATGTGAGTTTCCAATTGTACAGCGCTACAGAAATTGATAGAGAGATAGAGATAGAGATATATATATATATATATATATATATATAGATATATATATAGAGAGAGAGAGATTGAGATATATATATATATATATATATATATACATATATACATAGATAGATATATACAGATATATAGACACACACACACACACACCTCCTTTATTATTTATTATTTATGAACAAAACATATCACACAGTGATTTCAATGACAAAATATAGACCTTTTAGAACTATTTGTCAAAGGATGTAAGCATTTAAAAACAAACAAAATGTGACAGATTGAGGTCACTTTCAAGGTTTAATTATTATGTTATTATTCATATAGTGCCAACAAATTCCGCAGCGCTTTACAGTAGGTGGACGAACAAACATGTAGTTGTAACCAGACAAGTTGGACACACAGGAACAGAGGGGTTGAGGGCCCTGCTCAATGAGCTTACATGCTAGAGGGAGTGGGGTAAAGTGACATAAAAGGTAAGGATAGTATTAGACTAGTGACAGTTGCAAGAGAGGAATCAGGCAGGAGCTATGTACAGTTTAATTGATACCATTTTAAGAAGAAGTGGGATTTTTTTGAAGGAGTGAAGACTGGGTGGGCATTTAACGGAGGAGGGAAGTGAACGGTGCAGCCCTCGAGAAGTCTTGAAGGCAAGCATCAGAGATGGGAGTATGGACAGAAGATAAACATAAGTCTTCAGCAGAGCATAAGGGCCTAGACGGGACATACTTATGTATTAGGGAGGATAGTTGGGAGCAGCATTATGTAGACATTTGAAAGAAAGAACCAAAAGTTTAAATTGAGCCCTATATCTTACAGGAAGCCAATGTAGGGACTGACATAAGGGTGAGGCATGGGAGGTACGGGCAGACAGGAAGAGGAGCCTCGCCGCCGCATTCATTATGGACTGTAACGGCGCAAGTTGGGAGCACGTAAGACCACTGGGAAGCAATTACAATAGTCAAGACGAGAAAGGACAGTGGAATGGATGAGCACCTTAGTCGCACCTGGCGTGAAGTAGGGTCGGATGCATACAATATTTGAGATGGATCGGCAGGATTTGGTGACAGACTAAACATGAGGCGTGGAGGTCGGAGTCAAAGAAAACACCTAGGCAGCGAGCCTGCGTGGTGGAGCTGATGGTAGCACTGTTGACTTGGAGGGGGACAGACAGGAGTAGCAACACTTGAGGGAGGAAAGACCAGAATTTCAGTTTTGGTCAAGTTGAGTTTATGGAAGTGGGCAGCCATCCAGTTAGAAATAGAGAGGCAGTCAGAGACACTTATCAAGAGGGACATGGAGAGATCAGATAGTTTTGCGTGTCATCTGCATAGAAATGATATTGGAAGCCAAAAGGAGCTAATGAGTTTACCAAAGGAGGCAGTATAGATGGAGAACAGTAGGGGACCAAGGACTGAACCTTGGGGGACACCAACAGAGAGGAGTTGGGGAGAAGAAGCAGTGCCAGAGAAAGAAACACTGAAAGAGCACTGGAAGAGGTAGGAGGAGCACCAGGAGAAAATATCTTGAAGACCGATATTGCGGAGGATGAGAAGAAGCTGTTGATGATCAACAGTGTCAAAAGCAGCAGAAAGGTCAAGGAGAATTAGGATAGAGTGACCACCACGAGATTTGCAGCGAGTTGATCATTGGATACTTTGGTCAGTTCCATTTCCACAAAGTGTTTAGCGCGGAAACCAGACGGAAGCGGGTCTAGCAGAGTTTAAACAATGTTAAATCTAATTAAGTTAGCAGCTTTGCTTAAAGGATCACTATAGGGTCAAAAACACAAACATGTATTCCTGACCCTATAGTGTTAAAACCAACATCTAGCCACCCTGGGCCCCTCATGCCTCCATAAATCTTACCATATTCAAGCCTGAAGCTGTAACTCTGCATGCTGTTTGACTCAGAAAAACAAGCAGTCTGCTGACATCAGAAGGGATAGCCTGATCCAATCACAGTACTTCCCCATAGGATTGGCTAAGACTGACAGAAGCAGATCAGGGGCAGAGCCAGCATGATTCAAACACCGCCCTGGCCAATCAGCATCTCCTCATTGAATCAATGAATCTCTATGAGGAAAGTTCAGTGTCTGCATGCAGAGGGAGGAGATACTGAATGTTTGGATGCATTTTAGGCAGCCATGACCCAGGAAGGATCTCTAACAGCCACCTGAGGAGTGGCCAGTAAAGTTATCACTAGGCTGTAATGTAAACACTGCATTTTCTCTGAAAAGACAGTGTTTACAGAAAAAAGGCCTGGAGGTAATGATTCTACTCACCAGAACAAATTCAATAAGCTGTAGTTGTTCTGGTGACTGTAGTGTCCCTTTAAAAAAGGGACACTAAACACCATAACAACCTATGCTGCATATGTTATGGAACAAGGAAGCCTCTGACAGATTTCTAGTAAGAATTTTATGGAATAATACAAATAAGTAGTTCTACATTCTCAGAGTATAAAAACTAGTTATAATTTACTATGCAAATAAGTACATTTCCTCGCAAAAATATGTTTAGAATACATTACTACCCAAATAACTAAAGCCAAACTATTTCCTAGGATCAAGTCTTACATGTCATTTTAACAGAATCTGAATGTGCTTCTGAGAAATCTATCCAGTTACATTTGACCAGCATGCAAACTATCCATCAGGTGCACAACAATGCATCTTTAAAAAAAAATAAAAAAAAAATTATATATTATAATATATATATATATATATATATATATATATATATATATTTAAAATTAAGAATTATGCTTTTCTGCCCAAATGTGCAAAATATAATGACAGACAATCATAATATAGCAGGCAAGCAAATGGGTAGAGTCCAGAATAAGTCCACAGCAAGGTCAGACTTGGACTGTTTCTGGAGTGCCTGTTATTTACAGTTTGGATCACCAGTGTATAAAAACAGTCAAAGATCCCTATGCAGCTGTATTCAAATTGCATGTAAATATAATCATTCCGTTAAAGGTTACAGACAAAGCAAACTATTCAAATGCACACCTTGCAGGGCCACCATTTAGCTACAGCACCCCCAAATCATTTCACTGCAAAATGAGAAAGAAAACGAAGATACAAGATGCATAAAGGGCATTTCAGCGTTTTTACAACTGGAGGCAGAAACTTTCCTGGCCCTTCTCGTTGAGAAGCATAGGAAAACCAGAATCACTTGCGACCCCAGAACACAGCTTTCTCAATGAGAAGCCTGTGATTGGGGTATTCTTGTTCTTTTTTTCATATATCCCCAAGATTCTTTAGAAGAGGTTTTTTTTTTTTAAATATATGTTGCCATATTTATTTAAATCATATTTTCTGCTGACAGCTTCTGACTTCCTCTGGTCCTATCACTAACAGATCTGCTGTTTCTCAACAATACGTTTGTTTTCTTTGTTACACAGGAATTCTTGAAAGACTTGTCAAGGTGTTGTATTAATTCTATTGTCATTTAACCTGCTTGGTCTGTCGGTGCAAGTTGTTAAAATGTATTTATTGCACAGTGATCAAGATTAATATATATTAGGCCGTGGGACAAGAGACCTAATAAAGGTGAAGCAAAATGAAATGTGTTAGTCCTGGTTCTCTCCTGTGCAATACATCTTTTAAACAGCTATGTGTAATTTGTCCAAGTGAGGAAAATAAGTTCTATAATTCATACTATTTTCTGTGAAAATTCAAAGGCATCTGGAAAACAAGCCCATGCAGATACGGATTACCCTATCATACTTCATATCCTTCAAGCCAATTTCTCCCTAACTTGTTACCTGGCACCTGAGGGCCAACAAATGCAGTAGCTCATGTGTCCAAGTCCAGCATCACATAGTACGCAGGAATTGAACAATGGACATCCCAAGCCCCTCATCACTCAGGGTGAATTGAATTTAACCCCTTAAGGACACGACATGTGTGACATGTCATGATTCCATTTTAGTCCAGAAGTTTGGTCCTTAAGGGGTTAAATCACGATTCAGTAAATCATGAATTTTAAATGTAAAGACTTATTCTTGCCGGTAGTTATCTTTAATATTTGCAACCAGATGAAGATTTCAGATTTAGAATAATAACCTGTCAGATTAGTAAAACCGCTATATCAGAACTGATTTTAGTTTAATAGGTTAAGCACTCATATTTAGAGAACTACTTAAATCATTTTTATTTAACTAATTTATGCTTAACATGAATTTCTCATTGTATTCACTCAGTACAGCCGAAAAAAGGCATATTTGCTTATTTAAATTTAATATTTCTTTTTAGAAACTGTATAAAAATGCAGTGCCATGGAGTAACAATAACAAATATATATTATTGTTCATGGCAGTCTTTACAAATAAATACATTGAAAAAAAAAAAAAAAAAAACCAAAAATAAAATAAACCATAGGCTGAAATAAAACCAGTTTACAAACCTGAAGGTCCTGCCTCTTCAAAAGTGTTCCTTTCACCACAGCACTTGTGATGTTGTTTCTGTCGGACCACAAGGCTTTACATTTCTTTGCTGCACTGCTTGCATTTTGCACGCATACCTGCTTTACCCATAGTTAGAGGAATTTAATTTAAATATTCCCAAACTGGGTCTCTTTTACAGCCTGCTGCAATTCTGCTCCTCAAGGGAGGGAATAAAGAACTTCCAGCTATGTGCACAAAAATCCTACAGTTTGTAAACTGCTCAAGCTTCACTTTCATTTTACAGCAGGTACCTCCCCCCTCACACTTAAAGCCTGGACCAGATATATTTCACTCCAAACAATCTTGAAACCTAGCACTTAAAGGGACACTATACTCAGCAAAACAACTAACTTAATGAAGCAGTTTTGGTGCCTCTGCAGTCTCACTGCTCAATATTTTGCCATTAGGAGTTAAATCCCTGTTTATACAGCACTAGTAACAACTCCCTACATGTGACTTACACAGCCTTCCTAAATACTTGCTGCAAAGTGAGATCTAAAGTTAACATTTTCTTTATTGCACAGTCTGTTTAATTTAGAATGTCTTTTGTTCTATTAATAGCTTGCTACACTTTGCAGGTGTATCCTGTGTGTTACTCAAGTTCAATTTAAAAAGCAGAAGATACAAACTTCTAAAGTAAACATCTGAATGAGATTACTTTTTTTCACGCAGGTGGAGTCAGTCACAGCCAGCGGAGGTGTAGCTAGGGCTTCAGAAACAGAAACAAAAGAAATTTAACTCCTAAATGGCAGAGAATTGAGCAGTAAAACTGCAGAAGTTGTTTTGGTGACTACAGCATCCCTTTAAGATAATGTGTTCATTTGTACATCGATTTACAGAACGATGGGATTAAGGTATTTTCCTAAACTTTATTTTATACCATTTTTACTGTGAAAAAGCACATGTTTGCTCAGCTTGGATAACTTTGATTAATTAAATTCTGAATAACCTTTGAACTAGAATGTATGTCCATAACTGCAATATGTCACAGCAGGCACCCCCTCTGCTTTCGGTTTTTAAAATAAGGGTGGCAATTTCAAACGTAGCCTACTGAATGGGAGGTACATTTGTCTCACTTTTCCCCCTAAATGTAAGAGTGCTTATTTACAACATGGATTGTTTAAGAGTACTAGGAACTCACTTTTCTTTATAGGGTCTCTCCCACTTGCACCAGGGATGCGATCAGACAAAAAAAAAAAAAAAAGTGTAGCAGGGACTACAGCTCATATACAACCCCTCATGTGGTGTGTAAAGGGCAAGTGTTTTAGGACACTTGCTTAAACAATAGGTTTTTTTAATCAGAGGCTTAAAAATTTCTGTATGAACGTTATTTATTGAAATAAAATGAATATTCAAGGATATAATAGTTAATGCAAGTATGTAGCTTATTGATTCAAGGAAAAATTTGACACTGACTTTGAAGTTAAAACTAAATATTTTCTCAAATTTTTTGTAAAATTGAAAACCACAAATGGGATTTTCTCCTTTTTTTGCATCAACAGCTGTAACACAGACGTGTGAAAGGCTGAACTTGAGTCTTATCAGTCTATAGGACTGTGTAATTATGAAACAAACATCTGTTGGCAGCCTATGTAGCCAGCATGCCTATCTACAACACCTAAGCATATTCAAACCATTCTTGTTCCAAGCTGACAGAATTTGGATGTGTGCTGCTTTAAAGACAGCTCAACGCTTACTGGAATACAATTTAAAGGATCACTATAGTGTCAGGAAAACAAAGCTGTTTTTCCTGACACTATAGTACTCTGAGGGTGCCCCCACCCTGAGGTCCCTCTCCCGTGGCGGTGAAGGGGTTAAAACCACTGCAGCAGCTTACCTTAATCCAACGCCGGTGACCTCTCCTCCCCGTCCGACGTCACTGGAGCCGAATGTGCATGCGCGGCAAGTGCCGCGCACGCATTCAAAGTGTCCATATGAAAGCATATGGACACTTTGCCTCCAGCGTCACAGATGCGCCTCTAGTGGCTGTCTGGAAGACAGCCACTAGAGGCTGGATTAACCCCAAATGTAAACACAGCAATTTCTCTGAAACCTATGTTTACATGTGAAGGGTTAAAACCTGAGGGACCTGGCACCCAGACGACTTCATTGAGCTGAAGTGGTCTGGGTGACTATAGTGTGCCATTAAATCATAATTGTAATTTGTTTTTGAGAAGCTATACATGACTGGAAGCTATACATGACTGCAATAAACGAGACTCTGCTCTGGAATATACTCAATTACGCATATGAAGCAATGTTGCCTTCACTTACACCAAAAATCAAACTATAGCTAAAATCTGGGATCCCTGGTTTTGATGGATGCAACACTATCCCTTGGCTACAACAGTTATAAGCATTCACGTGGTCAGGCAGTAGGCATATGTGTGTACTTAAAGGGACATTCCAGGCATATAAACAAGTCAAGCTTAAATTAACCCCTTAAGGACGGAGCCAAATGTACACATTGTGAACAAAACAAAATGTAAACAAAACCTGGCATTTGCGCTACATGTCTGTCCAACCGTAATACACCTCTTTCATAGTAAATGCACCCACCCTTATTATATATCATTTTATTCAGGGGAAACAGGGCTTTCATTTAATATCAAATATTTAGCTATGAAACATAATTTAATATGAAAAAAATGGGAGAAAATACGATTTTTTTTATTTTTTTAGTTCTAAATTACATTTTAAAGGTCAGTGTCATAATACTGTTTGATTTTACTGCAATAAAATACACATATTTGTATTCAGCAAAGTCTCACGTGTAAGACAGTACCCCCTATGTACAGGTTTTATGGCGTTTTGGGAAGTTACAGGGTCAAATATAGCACGTTACATTTGAAATTGAAATTCGCCAGATTGGTTACGTTGCCTTTGAGACTGTATAGTAGCCCGGAATGAAATTTACACCCATAATGGCATACCATTTGCAATAGTAGACAACCCAAGGTATTGCAAATGGGGTATGTCCAGTCTTTTTTAGTAGCCATTTGGTCACAAACACTGGCCAAAGTTAGCGTTAGTATTTGTTTGTGTGAAAAATGCAAAAAACGCCAATTTTGGCCAGTGTTTGTGACTAAGTGGCTACTAAAAAAGACTGGACATACCCCGTTTGCAATACCTTGGGTTGTCTACTATTGCAAATGGTATGCCATCATAGGGGTAATTTTCATTCTTTGGCTACCATAGGGTCTCAAAGGCAACGTAACCAATCTGGCGAATTTTAATGTGAAAAAAATGAAACGCAAGCCTTATATTTGACGCTGTAACTTTTGAAAACACCATAAAACCTGTACATGAGGGGTACTGTTGTACTCGGGAGACTTCGCTGAACACAAATATTTGTGTTTCAAAACAGTAAAGTATCACAGCAATAATATTGTCCGTGTAATGCTGTTTGTGCGTGAAAAATGCAAAAAACTTCACTTTTACTGGCGATATCATCGTTGTAATACATTTTACTGTTTTGAAACACTAATATTTGTGTTCAGCGAAGTCTCCCGAGTAGAACAGTACCCCCCATGTACAGGTTTTATGGTGTCTCGGAAAGTTATAGGGTTAAATATAGTGCTAGCAAATTAAATTCCCTTTACTTTCGGCATGGGTTGTCAGGCAGGTCCCGCTAATTGTAATTAATTAAGATACCTAATTATGTAAAAATATTACATAAATATATATGTAGAATTAATATATGTATATATATACGTATGTGTATATATATGTATATATCTATATAATTTTTTTAATATATATATATATATATATATATATATATATATATATATATAGTGATATATACGTATATATTTATGTATATAGATATATATATTATTTAGTTCTAGGTGTATTTTGATATATATATATATTAATTTCACAAAACAGTTAGAACGAAATAACACACATCTATATATTTAATTATTTATTTTAAATTTTTTTAATTTTATTTTTTAACGTATTTACATTTACATTTTTTTTATATTATATATAAATATATATATAACAATAATTATATATATATTTAATCAGTATCAGTCTACGTGTAATTTGATATTAATATATATATGTAATTATATATATATTAATAGTAAAATACACCTAGACGGTGTATGTGTGTGTATGTATATGTGTATATATATACTTAGATCATATATATATAATATATATATATATATATCTATATATATATATATATGATCTATATATGATCTAAGTATATATAATAATTTTTTTTTACACCATTAACTTATTTTTATTTTATTTTCAGCCAGCAGGGGGACCACCTGTCATTACAGGCAGCCCCCCTGCCGGCAATACAGAAGCCAGCTATCCCCGGCCATGTGATTGTGGGGTCCTCGCTAGGACCCCACTCTCACATGGCCGGGGGCTTCAACGAGGACGGATGTGCCGCGGGGGGCTCCCTGGGAGTCCCCCCCACCGCGATCGCCGGCGTGGGACCGCCGGCAACCGGGTAAGTTAACAAAAACCGGAGGGCGTACAATTACGCCCGGCGGCGTTTAGAGCCGCCTATTAGAGGGCGTAATTGTACGTCCTCCGGTTTTAAGGGGTTAAAGCCAATAAGCTGAAATAGCTCTGGTTAGTTTATTTTCTTTCAATTGTGTAATTTTCCTGCAGTGCTATAAAATCGGATAAAATCGGATTGCAATATTAGACTTAAATAATTTAACATGCTGTAGCAAAAACAGAAAAAAAAAAAAGTTTCCTTTTGCTTCTGTATTTCTTCCTGATACAGTAAAAAGTCTATAGATATATCAAAACTTAGATGAGATAATGCTAGTAAAACTTCAGGTTTATGGTAATATTGCACAAAAACAAACACTAAAGTGTTACCTGATTAAGACAGAAATCTTAACTACCTGCATGTGCACACACAAACCTGTAATGTCTATACAAAACATGCTCATACAAACTTCACAGAACTTATTCAAGAGAAATATATAACTCCAGGATAATTTGAAAGGGCAAATCAGGTGTAATTTTGGGACCTGACCCATACCCACTTTATTTTATCATCCTCCCTCCCCCCCCCAATAAATAAATAAATTTATAATTGACACCCATGTCAAGTCTGCTGGCATCACATGTCGGACTAAAATATATTTTAGTAGAATGTAAAAATGAGAAGTTTTGGAATAATTGAGAATCATAGGTCATGGTTAGCAAAACTAAATGCTAAAACAGAAGAACTCCATCTTAACAGTGAGACTTGGTGGTATGGTAATTGCAAAAAAAAAAAAAAAAAAAAAATGAATGCCAAATGCTACCAGCAACAGCCACGGAGTCCAAATGTAGCTTGAAATCCCCAAAAGAAAAAGTGTAATTTATTACTTAAAACACATGAACTACACCTACAGAATAATCCTAAAAACACACTGATAGATGAGCAGCAGCTGAACTGAAAGTAATCCAGAAGCGCAAAGTTAAAGGAACTTTCCAAGCACCATAACCACAACGGTTTACTGTAGTGGTTACGGTGCCAGTAGTGGTTCTCAGCCAATGAGCTAACCTTACACTGCAAGGCTGAGCTAGAAGAGCCAACTGAATCAAGAGCTCCTGGCTTTCTGGCTGAGGTAGTGGATTCAGATAACAGTGCCGGGCAGATCCCAGGTAAGAAGTCTAACCGCTCTAAAATGGATTGACTACTTACAATGGGTCAGCCAGGACACTCCTGGCACCATAGCCACATAGTACTATACAGTTGTTATTAGGGATCGACCGATATTGATTTTTTAGAGCCGATACCGATATTCTGTGAACTTTCAGGACGATAGCCGATATCATTTGCTGATATTCTGTACATTTACCATTTTGGAAAATAAAAACTATTTCTAAAAGTAAATGCACAAAATATACATGCCACGTGTAGTGGATGCAGTGTGTTTAGACAGGGGAGCGCTGTGTGTGTGTGTGTGTGTGTGTGTGTGTGTAGTGTGTGTGTGTCTAGTGGATGAAGTGTGTATTAGTGTAGTGTGTATATAATGAAAGCAGAGTGTTTGTGTAGTGTGTGGGTAAGTGTGCGTAAAGTGAATGCTATATATACTAAAGGCAAAGTGTGTTTGTATATAATGAATGCAGAGTGTGTGTGTGTGTGTATAGTGAATGTAGTGTGTTTATATAATGCAGAGTGTGTTTGTATAGTGTGTGTATATAATGCAGTGTGTGTAGTGTGCATTATATAAACACACTACACAAACACTGAATTATATACACAGACTGCATTATATAAACACACTACACAAACACACACTGCATTATATATAGTGTGTGTAGTGTATGTGTATATAATGGAGTGTGTGTGTTTGTATAGTGTGTGTATATAATGCAGTGTTTGTGTAGTGTGCATTATATAAACACATTACACAAACTGCATTATATACACACACTATGTTTATGTAGTGTATGTGAGCGGGCATTTTATTAAATTATTATTTTTTTATATTTATTTTTGTTGTCCCCCCTCCCTGCTTGTTGCCTGGCCAGGGAGAGGGGATATAGCATTCCCTGGTGGTCCAGTGGAATTGGCTGAGCTGTGGGCGGGCAGCAAGCGTTTACTCACCTCCCAGCAGCTCCTCCAGCTCCCCAGTGTAAGTCTCGCGGCCAGCGTGCCGCACGGGTCTCACGAGAGTTACACCGGGGAGCTGCTGGGAGGTGAGTAAGCGCTTGCTGCCCGCCCCCCCAGGTTTTTAATGAGCCTGGCGGTCCTAGGAGGTATTATCGGCAATATCGGTATCTGAATTGGCCAATACCGATATTGCCGAAAATACAGATAACCGGCCGATTATATCGGTAAAACCGATAATCGGTCGATCCCTAGTTGTTATGATGCTTAAAGTGCTCAATTTATAGAAGCTTGTGTAGCTTTCAGCTGCTGGCTCATGGGACCCTTAGTCTGGCATGAAATCTATTGCAGGTATGGGACTTGGATAGTGCCTTCTGAAGCAGTTCTGAAATGTTAAATTTACCAAAATACATATTGTAGAGTTGTTCAGCAGGATTGGACATGTTTGATTAAAGTTACTGTTGGTAAAAGGAGGTTCACTAGTGTTTTCACATCAATTACATTTTTTAATTATGTATTTATTTATAAATTGAACATTTAACGGGTTATCAGAATGTCGATCTAATCACACGTCAGGTCACATTAATACCACCCCCCACTATATCTGCATACTTGGTATAAGTAAATGAGAACAAAAATAAACATCCATCTAAAAACCACAGAACAAATACACATTCATAGTCTGCAATACATGGTTACTTTGCCATGTTGTATGATAAAATATATACAATTGAAACAACCAGAAGCAAATGAAAATGAAATTCTCTGTAACACACACCAGGACATTCACTCTTGGGCTAAGAAACCAGCATCCAAGGATATGTTTTGATAAAAATGTAGACAACATACCAAAGTGTGCTGAACCACTGCTACTTTTACTTGATGTCGAGGTACTGCAAGTCTGGGTCCCAGGTTGTGCTGTGCCTGTTCGAGTTATACCTTTGTGAAACGTTCTATAGGAGAAGTCATTAATGTCACTGTCATGTAGGGATGTTGTCCGAGGCCTAAAATGGCGCCACCTACATGATTTTATATTTACTAATATCTGGCTGAGGTCTTTAGAGAAACATTTATCCGAGGTATTAGTTTCTGAGGTATTGGCAAATGAATTGATTGAAGAGTGTTCTGGAGAGGAAAGCGTATAAACATCCAGCTGACGAAAAGCACTGTCGTAGTCCGAATATGCTCTGTCGAGGACCACCCTAAAGGATAAATTGAACAAGAAATGTTTTAGAAACAACTTATCAAAAACAAATATGTAAAAACAAAAAAAAAAAAACCCACCACATGTTATATGGAGTGGTTGGTCAGAAGGAATAAATGCAGCACGTTAATTGTAGCAATCTGTAAAGTATGCACTAGTCACAGCATGAGGCACTGTACACTGCTAACAAGTTTAACATTTGACCTTATGTACTGCCTCAACCCAAAGGTCTCAAATATAGGTTTATATTAATGCAATAGCTAATGTAAGTAACTTTTGTAATGGCATATTTGTTTCTTAATATAAAACATGAGCATACATTTTATATGGTTTCTAATAAAGTATGTATTTAAATTTTTGTACATTATCTTTGCGGTACTGCTTAGCTGGGATGGAATGATGTTATAGTGAAGGAGCTGCCTCTCTACAAGCATTATGTTTTTTATGCTCAATAAAGTTGTGTTCATTACAGTTATATGCTGCCTACCATCAGTATTTGGAAATTTGCTACCTACAGTTACCAGCTGGGATTCCACTTTGGAGCTATCATAGTTAGATCAGACTATAACTGCTCTTTATTTGTGATTGTAATTTAATTTCAGAATCATCACTTACAGAATTACACAATTTTTTCCTCTTTTGCTTTTTATATATCTGTGTGCATGTGATGTTGTATAAGCATACACTGTGAATTCCACTTTACTTGAATAGTGCACTTATTAGCAATCATAATTGCACTTCAGCACGTATCAATTGCATTTTCTTACAGTTTTTGATTTTAAAGACACAGCACACATTTATATTACGTACTGCCTTGGCCAAATACAGGCTTATATTAATGTTATACGTTCAACTTTGTAATGGCACATCAGACTAATCTCCGCTGTAAGGAAAAATTAAAACCAAAATATCTGACTGGTACATTAAGCAATAATAGTGAAGATGGCCTTGGTGTTCCATTTAAAGAGACACTCTAACCATTTAATTTCATGGTGCCTGGAGTCCCCTTGCTCTGCTCTTAACATTTTTTTAAAGCAATTTAGCCCTAAATGGGGTCCTTGGCCAACCACAGCCCAGCTCCCAATGGAGGTATGGCTAAGGCAGAGATTATACTCTTCTTTAGCCATAGCAATTTATACCAGAAATTGATGGTTGGCATTGGCTGAAAGCAGTCAGCAGACAGTCAATCACCACCGCCCATTGCTGCTCCAGACACAAACAACATCAATGAGATGAAGAGGGTAATTTTATTATTTACTTTATTTTTATTTTTTATTACCAGATGTTAATTTTATACCAGGTGAAAAGTAGTACCCCGGAGAGGCTACATGGGGAAAGCATATTCTAAGTTTATAGGCAAGCCAACTACAATTCCAGATTACTGGAAAATAAAATGAAATCTGAAAACAAAGTTTACCTTCCACCACGTGCAACCCGTCTTCGTGCAAACCCAATACACCTGCCGGGTACAGTGAGGGTAGTGAGGCAGTATCTATAGCGAATGTCTCCAAGCCCTCCTTGCTCAGGACTACACCAAGGCCAGTTGCCAGTTTGGTCCAAATGTGGCTTGAAATCCCCAAAAGAGAAAGATAGAGTGTCATTACTCTATTAAAACAAACACTTCTTAACCTGCAGGGTTATTCACTAAAGTAAAAATTCAAAGTCAATTCCAAAATAAAGGCTAAAGGAGCTGAACCTGAAGCATTGTTGAGTGCAGCTATTTATACCTTGAATTTAAATTTCACTTGTGAATAGTCCTGTTGATATCAACAGTTGGAACAGACTTGTTATACTTACAGCATAGTACTGACAACCAGCTTTCCTACGGAAAGCAAATGGACCATCTGGATCATTATCTTCCTCTGCTTCTGAAGAACCTGACAAAACCTTTGGAAAGACATAATGTGGTTAATATACCAAACAGAATAAAAAAGGCCTAAATTGCTGTAATGACCATTTCCCTTTTAAAAAAATTTGATTAGAATTTCTACCTAAAATGCACATTACCTGGGACATGGGTTCATCATCAGAGCTGGGAAAATCATACTGATTCAGATCTTTAGCATTAAACACTGGCAGTGCAGCAGGGCTGGTCTGTTGAGCAGCAGGAGAGGAGGGCAAGACTTTGGGCTTTTTTTCATATTTTCGCTTCGGTCGTGCATCACTTTTTTCTTGCTAAAACATTATAGAACAAAAAAAAAAAAAAATCTTTTTAAAAAAACTATAGGATTCTTAAGCATTTTAGCAAATTTTTCTATAGCCATATAGAAATATGATCTGAATTTTGCAATTCGGTGTCCAATAAACAAACAATCTCATTTATTGTATGAAGAAAAATAAATACATTTTCAAAGCACACCTGCTCCCCATTGAAGTTCAACTTCAAACTACAAAGTAAAAGTAGCAAGAAACAAAAAAATTATAATCTTTGGTTAATGCAAAATGTATTTGTCCTCCAGCAGAGGGGGATCATGGTTAAAAAAAACCAAAAAAAAAAAAAAAACACCACATGATGTAAAACCTACAAAATTTTTCAAGAAAGTTATCCTTTCAAAGGAAAACTAAAGCCATCTGGTTATTGAGCTAATCTGCACACTCACATTCATATTTTGAGGCAGATGTAATATGGATCTGAAGCTTTTCAAAAACATTTCGGTGCATGTGGACGACAGTACTACAGTGACATGTGGTTTTAAATGCACTCTACACAACATCAAGTGATCTGGAAGGCTGAATGCAGATCATGTGCCACATGACAAAAATCATGATTTGGCACATATGTAAGACAACTTTTTATTTATTAAACTATCAAATCCCAGTATTTTTTTCTAAATTTGCAGAGGTTAAGCTTAAATAAAGCACATACTACTGCTCATGTTACTCAGTGCACAGATAATGCTACCAAGTCTTATACAACTAGCTCTTAAAAAGATGCCCATTTTCATGCCTCATTTCGGATCCATTCTTCGGAGTTTAAATACTCAAAATACAACTTAAACATAGTATGAGAAGATGATCGATTTTGCATCAACATCATCTAATGAACATCTGACATTAGTTAGATTAGGTTTTCATCTATGTAGTAGGTGATTACTAGGGGTTAACATGGGTATGTGTCACGGTCAACTTTTGAAACATTGTGCAGTATCTGTTTTGCTACCCAGAAGGATGTAAAAACTTCTGGGTTAAAACCTTTGTGTGCAGGAACTGTATGGGACTGTGGTGGTCCTCTTTTGGATCAAGTCCTCAAGGCTGCTTTCTCGTTCACAGTGCCTTATGGCTGCGAGAGTCTATCTGTAGGAGTGTGGTTGCTAAATGCTAATGCTTAGGACGGTCTCTTTGTCCATTATTTTCTTTAAAGAAGACTGATTTAAATTAAAAGATCTAGTTATTACCTCCAATGATTATGTTAGTCCTAGAAACCGTGAAATTCAGACTAACGTCATCAATCCTCAAGATTTCATGTATTCTATAACCTACAAGGTAAACTTTGGGTGTGCATCTGGAGGTCTACTATGTGTACCTATATCCCGGGCCCAAGCGCAATTGTCTTTCTACCTGAATCTATATGGTATTCAGGCCATTAGGTTCACAGTTTCAGCCTCAAGATACGGACTATTCAAGTTCTTGTGAAGTCTTGTCATAGTAGGATTGTTTAGTTAAGAGATTATATAATATACACTTCTGGACAACCACCATGCCATACCCGCCACTTGGAGTTAGTGCTAGGGCCAAAGTAGGTTAACAAATCCCCTGTGGGCAAAGACTGATGCACAAGCTTACTCCTGCAAGACCATTCCCACATGCTCAGTTTTTTGTCTTTAAATTTGTCATAAAGGTGATAAAACATAAAAATATTGTGCAATAATACACTACAATAATGTTATAGACAAGTTGCATACCATAAAACACCTTACCTTAATGGTCTTAATCTCCATTGTATCCTGATGTTTAAATGGACTACTAGAAATAGGGATTATAGGGATGGCATAGGTAGGCTTTAATGGCTGACGTTGTGCCATAACCTCTGACATGATTTCTCCATTATAGTCATCTAGGTGATACCTGCAAATAAAGAATTAAATCCTTTACCCCAAATAGATTTAAAACATTAAAAATATACAGTCCATTATTATGGTGATTAATTAAAAAGAAAAAAAATCTACTTTGCTTAACAATCTAAACATTAGAAGACTGAATACACCAGACAGAATTCATATGTATCCTTTCCTGTGTACAACGTTGGAAAGGTATCCATCATGGCCGTGGATTCCCTATATATTAACTATAGCAAAACCAGAAGGAAAAATATTGTAGCTATTTAAAAAAAAAAAAAAATTTAAAAAAAATTGACCTCTTCTCCATTATTTCCAGTGTTAAGTGCAGCAATTCCCTCTTGCTTTTTTCTCTCCTCTTAATCATTTCCAGAATGGTGACTGCTCGACTTAGATCCCGACGTAATTTTAGCATTTTTTCATATGAAGCTTCATCATTCTTTCGATTCTGCAAAAGATGAAAAAAAGTTATACACTAGGAATTAAAATGTGAAATCTAGATAATCCAGAGAATGTATTTACCACAGTACTGTGAAGGAAGTTTAAAGACACATTGTCACTTCCTTCAATTTAGCACAATCTAGTAGTGCAGTAAAAGTTAGCTATAGAATCACTTTTTTTTAGTATATATTTTATTTTTCTTTATATGCCGTGCCGGGGAAAGTATATAAGTGTATGCATGTTTATGGCACTGCTAGAGAAAATGCAGAATGGGCAAATATGTTCATAAGACATCATGGGCCATTGAAGTCTCCACAAGTCTCCCATTAAACACTGTAATATTGTTCACTGGGGCAAAGAAAGCAGAACGGTCACTTCCAAAGAAGTGTGAATCCCATGTCCAAAGTGGCTCTGTCATCTTGTATGGTCTTAGCATACTTTGCAAACAACCAATCGATGTGCGATGGTCCGTTGGTGCAAGGGAAGGTAGCTTTTATATTCCTGATGCTGTCCCTCATGGCCTCTGCCATCTCTATCTGGGAAATGGTCTTCAGCTGCTAGGGTTTGATCTGCCCACAGCCCACATCAGTGCTTTAATCTTGCGCATGCGCGAGAGTACAACACTGATGTCTATGGAAGATCCTGTAGGAGCCTCCATAGACTATGCCTAAACAAGAGATTGCCTTGCACTGTAAAACATGCAGAGCCTCACTCACCTTTCTGGTCTGCATCTTTTCAGTGCGCCTCCTGAAAGCTACATATGGGTCACTCGTACTGGAGCCATCTCGCTTCTCTTGCTTCACTGTTGGTATGAGAGAGGGACCACGACAGTTTTTTCTCTTTTTAATCCAATACTCATACACTTCTGTTATCAATTCATCATCCTCCTTCAACAACAGTTTGGCCTCCTGGAGATTAACTGGCTGGGAAGAGATTGAGAGCCAGTAGTACACTGAAGCATTGATTTTTAGCGCCAACAGTTATTTACAAATCTTAAATGCCAGAGGGAGGGCGAGAAGGGGTTTACCTGCTGTCCACTGCCCTTTTCTAATCTGTCGATCATCTCTTCAAACTGGAGAGGAGAGATATCCATTTTCTTTTTCAGCTTATTCACAAAGACATCATCTTCAGAGTCCAAGTCATAATCTGGCTGCTCAGCATCCAAACTAAAAGCTAAATAATAAAAAACAACAAATTGGCATGAGCCTAGAGCATGGCTACAATGAAAATACACACACTTAAAAGGGGGTTACTAAGTAAAAAAGATTAGTTACAACTTATGTGTCTCACAAAACAGAGCAAAGGGATCATGACAAAGGGCTCTAACAGGGTTTGCAGCAGTTTACATTAAAAGAACACAAGTCTAAAGAAAGGAAAATACAAATTCTATACCCATATATTAACACATGGCATTGAAAAAAAGAAGAAGAAAAAAAATGTATATATACTTTGCAGGATTTTTCCACTAACATTAAAATACACAGTGAAATTCTAATTTATGGCCAAAATATCTGACCTGGAAAAGATCTCTAAGTCAGCTATGCTTTCAGGTCAGCAACTCTGGCCTAAATTTGAAATACAGTTTAAATTCTCTCTTTAGTGAATTATCCCATTAATGTATCTGTTCAAAATAAGCATTCACTATCAGTAACAAAAGATTACCGAAATATCTTACGATGCATGGCATTCTGTAGAATGAAGAACAGAAAGTGCATGCTAAAAGATTTTTAAATAATGTATCATTGACAACATTTAAGACTAGTGTTACCAGCAGGTTATCACACAATGGGCGTTTCACAAGATCTCAAAAAGGATCCCTCACTAGCACCGCAAAATGTGAGTTAATGCTACTCACGCTGTATGTGAATGAGCTGCTTTGGCATCTTAAATTCCCCTGGGTACACAGATTCATAATAGGCAATGTTACTCTCTGCCTCTGGGACTGGAATAACCATATTATCCCGCTTCTCTCCATAGACCTGCAGTGCTGAAATTGCTCGTTGGAGATGATGTTCCTAGAAATAAAAAAAGTTTTAAAAAAATTAAAAAATACTGGTTGAAATGTTTTGTAAAAGACATCAAAACGTAGGGTTGCAAAAAAACACATCTGACATGTAGGAACCTCATGATAATGTTATTGCCATTGAGAAGGCACCAACAAATACGGCAATTTAAAAAGTTACACTAATCACAGCTTGAATTTACCCTTGCTATTGCTATACAGATACCATTGACCTGAGAATCACCTGCAGGATACAAGTGGAATACTTTTTTCACCACTGAATGCCGCGGTAAATGGATAGAAAATAGACTACTACTACCATGCTGTTCAAATAAATTATTCACCCTCCAAACAGTGTATGATTGCGGACAAGGATACTTCAAACAAACAATAACTTTAGATTAATGAAGCAGTTTTGATGTATAGATCATGCCCGTGCAGTCTCACTACTCAATTTTCTGCAATTTAGGAGAAAGCAGTTTATACAGTCCTAGCATACCACCTGTGGCTGTGACTCACACTGCTCTCATGAAGGAGGGAGGGCGTGGGGGTTAATTTTCAAACCATAGTGTGTTTATTTCAGAAGTTCTTACCTCCTGCTCAGTTAATTAAAGTTTAATCACACACAGGAGGCTAATGCAGACTACTAACTAGAGCAGGAGATACAAGATTCTAAATTAAAAAACAAAAACACACACTGTGGAATTAGGGAAGTTTAAAGGAACACGCCTTTGAGGGTTTAAAAGACAAGCATTAACTTACATTTTAGCCCTTGTCATGCCAGTCTCCATCCTGCTGCACAGCCACCTTGGTGGAGATCTTTAAAATTTATGATTTTAGCCAATCCATAGGAAAACATTGGGAAGCTAGTGTGCATGGGCGGCAAAATGCTGCTCCAATCAGTTGGTCTCTAAGAGTCAATCACAAGACAGTTTCACTCTGTCGGAGTGAAAGTGCCTCTAGCGTCTGTCTGGAAGACCTAAGAGTCAGGTAGAGTTCTACTTACCTGAATCGGTCCCTCGAGGGCCCAACCATCGTCCTCCTCTTCAATTCTCTGCAGCCCTCGGGACTTAGACTCTTAGCGGAGCTACAGTGTAAGAAAGTCAGGCAGAAGGATACAGAACCAAAGTAGTATTTGTCTCAGTATCTCTCTTGACTGGGTTGGAATTTCAGTGAAATTCTAACAAACAATCTAAATAAGTATTTTATAAAGATTCTATCTTCATAAAACACTAATTTTTAAGAAGGGGGGAGGGTGATTTTGACAGTGCTGCTTTAATTTTCACTTCACGTTCACGTTAACCTTGCAATGTAATAATTTTGCATTCATGTGTTAAAACTACAGGGTAATAGCACCTGGACATTTTCATTGATGAAGTGGCCTACGTGCCTTAGTGGTCCTTTATTAAGGAGTCCTCTTTAAAGGACGTTTAAAGGAGGTGGTGGAGGCATAAGGCTATCCTAACTATAAGATAAGGCTAGGGACTAATGAAAGTATTTAGAAAATTGGGCAGACTAGATGGGCCGAATGGTTCTTATCTGCCGTCACATTCTATGTTTCTAACCTGGGAAGGTGGGGCTAGGGCCACAAATAAAGTTATTTAACTCCTAAATATCAGAGAAAAAAGCCTTAAGCTCCAACCTTTGTCAAGAGTAGTAGTGAGAATGTAAAGACATTAGCTTTGACAAGATAGCCTTAAGCTCCATCCTTTGTCAAGAGTGGGAAATCTACATAAGCGAAAAATAGTCCCTACTTTATCTTATGCTTTAAAGAGAAGTACAGTATATACTCGAGTATAAGTCTAGTTTTTCAGCACAATTTTTGTGCTTAAAAACCCCCACTCGACTTATACTCGAGTCACTGTCTGTATTATGGCAACTTAGAGAGCCGCGGCCGTCAGAGCCATGGCAACGATCCGCGCGGCAACCAGACCGCGAGACTTACAGTGGAGCTGACCGGAACGGAGGAGAAGGGAGCTGACAGGAGCTGCAGGAAAGGTAAGTAAATGCTTCCTGCCGGCCCCCCCACTTCACAGCCCATGCCACTGGACCACCAGGGATTAAGATAGCCCCCCTCCCTGACCAGTTAACAAGCAGGCAGGGGGGGACAAAAAAAAAAAAAAATTTAAAATAATAAAAATGCCCTCCCCCCACCCAGTTCACACACTCTGCATTATATACACAGTGTGTGTATATAATGCAGAGTGTGTGTTTGTATGAGTGTGTGTATATAATTATAAAAAAAAAATACATTTTTAAGTTTCTGCAATATAAAACAGTCCGTTAACTAGTTGTTCCAAAACATGTTACTGAATGGAATTGCCCTATGATCGTACACAGACTTGCCAATGACAACTCTGCGTGAGCTGCTCATAAGATTCAATCCCACAGCCAATCACTGAGAAAGATTGTGATAAGATGATGTGGCTAAGGAGCAGAGTTATGCTGCAAGAAAGCTTCAAAATGTATTCTTAATAAAACTAAAGATATCTGATTAATGAGGGGGGAGGAATTAAAACACTACTGAATGAATGAATGAAAGAGAGATCAAAACACATCAAATGGAGAAATTAAATCAAAATTAAATGAATATAGGGTCAGGAACACAAGTGTATTCCTGATCCTATCGAATTAAAAATACTTTCTAGAGGCCCCCTGCATATAGTAAAATCTTAATTTTATTTCAGTCTGCTGGTGTTGGCTCTGCCCCTTGGTTGACATAATCAGAAGTGATGATCTCAGCCAATCACAATGCTTTCCCATAGGAAAGCATTAGACTGGCTGAGATTGTCAAGGAGGCAAAGCCAGCACAAGTCAAACACAGCTCTGGACAATCAGCATCTCCTAATAGAAATGGATTGAATCAATGAATCTCTATGAGGAAAGTTCAGTGTCTGCATGCAGAGGGAGGAGATACTGAATGTTTGGATGCATTTTAGGCAGCCATGACCCAGGAAGGATCTCTAACAGCCACCTGAGGAGTGGCCAGTAAAGTTATCACTAGGCTGTAATGTAAACACTGCATTTTCTCTGAAAAGACAGTGTTTACAGAAAAAAGGCCTGGAGGTAATGATTCTACTCACCAGAACAAATTCAATAAGCTGTAGTTGTTCTGGTGACTATAGTGTCCCTTTAAAAAAGGGACACTAAACACCATAACAACCCCTGGACTGTTTCTGGAGTGCCTGTTATTTACAGTTTGGATCACCAGTGTATAAAACCAGTCAAAGATCCCTATGCAGCTGTATTCAAATTGCATGTAAATATAATCATTCCGTTAAAGGTTACAGACAAAGCAAACTATTCAAATGCACACCTTGCAGGGCCACCATTTAGCTACAGCACCCCCAAATCATTTCACTGCAAAATGAGAAAGAAAAAGAAGATACAAGATGCATAAAGGGCATTTCAGCGTTTTTACAACTGGAGGCAGAAACTTTCCTGGCCCTTCTCGTTGAGAAGCATAGGAAAACCAGAATCACTTGCGACCCCAGAACACAGCTTTCTCAATGAGAAGCCTGTGATTGGGGTATTCTTGTTCTTTTTTTCATATATCCCCAAGATTCTTTAGAAGAGGTTTTTTTTTTTTAAATATATGTTGCCATATTTATTTAAATCATATTTTCTGCTGACAGCTTCTGACTTCCTCTGGTCCTATCACTAACAGATCTGCTGTTTCTCAACAATACGTTTGTTTTCTTTGTTACACAGGAATTCTTGAAAGACTTGTCAAGGTGTTGTATTAATTCTATTGTCATATTGTCATTTAACCTGCTTGGTCTGTCGGTGCAAGTTGTTAAAATGTATTTATTGCACAGTGATCAAGATTAATATATATTAGGCCGTGGGACAAGAGGCCTAATAAAGGTGAAGCAAAATGAAATGTGTTAGTCCTGGTTCTCTCCTGTGCAATACATCTTTTAAACAGCTATGTGTAATTTGTCCAAGTGAGGAAAATAAGTTCTATAATTCACACTATTTTCTGTGAAAATTCAAAGGCATCTGGAAAACAAGCCCATGCAGATACGGATTACCCTACTTGCAGTGTTTCCCCCAGTTAACCACAAATGTCAACCACTAATTGCTATGTCACAGTCATTTCGTTAGAGTGCACCAGAACAAATTCAATAAGCTGTAGTTGTTCTGGTGACTATAGTGTCCCTTTTAAAGGACACTAGGCATGTGCAAAACCTGCTCAAATCAACCCCATTTTTTTACCATGCTTAGATGTTCTGAAGTAATCTAATGCCCTGGGCCAGGGGTAAGCAACCTACGGCACTAGTGCCATGCACGGCACTCAAGGTGTCTTTGCACGGCACTCAAGGCTGCTACAGCCAAACAGGCTCTGGCCTATCAGGAATCCCAGTGAGACTTCAGATATCTGCTAATACGCAAAGGTGGTGAAGGACAATCCTCAATTTATGCATTGCAGCACATAGAGTAAGTGATCTCAGATCACTTCCTCCCAGCACTTGTGAATGGGAATCCACACTGTAGTAGAGCAGTCCACAGCTGCTGTTGCAACTCCTGTCCTTGACCTGTACCTGGCCAGCCTGGTCCCCATTGGAACCCAAGGAAGCCACCCATACTGCTAGATATATGCACAATAACCCTCCCCTCATACAAATAATGCGAACAGCCCACAAGCAAACATACATACAATCCGCACAAACATAACCCGCTAACAATCCACATACATGCACACAACCCCACATGCAGCCTCTCACATGCAATACCCCAAACAGCCCCCACACATACACACACTACCAAACAAAATGTGACATATCCATTCACATACACACAATTCCACAAGCAATTCATATGTATAAATACATGATACCACAAACTACTCCTGAACATATACAATATAATAGCTCTTATACGCACAAATACAACAATACAAAGCAATTACAGTATAAATAACACAAGCAGAATACAGCAGCATACACATCTCAATTTTAAAAAAATAGGACATCACAATCCTATATCGGCACAGTGCTGCTAAAAGGTTGCCTACCCCTGCCCTGGGCAATCATTATCTCCTCATAGAGGTGCATTGGATCAGTGCAGCTCTATGAGGATAGTTCAGTGTCTGCATGCAGAGGGTGGAGACACTGAATGTCAATCACACTGTGTAGCACTGCCCCAGGAAGCACCCATAGTAGCCATCTGGAGGTGCAGGGACTCACCAAACTACATTAAGCTGCAGTTCTGGTGACTATAGTGTCCCTTTAAAATTTTTACATTTAAAATGTTTCAAAAGTTGTCCATTTAAATTGCAGCAGCCCTAAATGCCCTTAGTTTCAAGTACTAGGTTAAAGGTATGGTTAAAATAAAAATAAAGTGGTAGTAGTTCATAGGATAAACCTCATGGAAGTAAATATTAAATGGCTGGATAGTTGGAAACCACCCAGCAGCCAATTTACAAAACGTGCTCTTTGAGGAGAGTTAAAATAACGTGGCATCTTAAGACACTGACCAGCGGATAAGACATTAAACGATTTCTAATTTTTTTATTGAAAAGTTATAATAAAAAAATAAATTTTAAAAAATGTGACGCAGTTGGGTTTTAGGATTCCTCGGGTTCAGTGTATTGGTAACATCAACTGTATGTATGATGATCATGATTTGATATGTATACTGTACGTATTAGAGACCCTGAGTTGCCTTGTATACTCCAAATGGGATGAAATGAAAAAAGTAAGAATTCTAAAAATAAAAAAATGTTACTTCTATATTCTCAGACTTCAAAGTGGAGCCCCGTGATTAACACAGCTACAAGGTATATGAAATCTTCCTAGGGCCCACTCATATTACGAGTGACAATATCACACTTACTGGAAGATGTAAATAATGGCACATGTAAGTACGGTAAATGCCATTTTATCCCTGTACTATAAGCATTTTCTTTACCTTTGCTTCTATTAAATTAAACATATAAAGGCTCCAGTGTATGATGATGTAGCACAGGCCTTTTCAAGTAGAGAACATCTCTCTACCTGTGATCCACACTCCATCGCCATGCACTGAAAGTATAATTCACCCACTATAGTTAAAGCATTTGTCTGACTGAGCTACCATGCACAGAGTAAACATTTCCGTACAATGGAGTGTTTGTGAATGTGTATGTATATAGTTTGTTTTTATTTTTAAAATCTGTCTATATTTTAAATAGCCATTAGGTCAAAGTCTGAATTCATGAATTTCAATGCCGAATAATAGTCCTATGTTTCAGTGTATTGACAAGTCAACTACTGCTTATCAAAAGATCTAGTCTGCACCGATTGCTCTCAGCCCACGAATAACCCTGGGTGCATGTTGACCTAAGTTCTTGGCTAGTTAAAGACACTGCTGTAGGTGGAGTTACATTTCAGGCAGTAAAATCAAATACCTTTGCATGTTCAAAGTTTCTTACTAAAATGCTGTACATACGGACTCCAAGACCTGATAAAAGAGTGGTCATGGTGCTCAGACTAACCCTTTAATGTATTCTCTAAGGCTTATCGGGTCAGTTATTCAGGAGGTATTCTAATCTCTGTAGCCCAGCATGCACCAGGTTATGTTCAAAAACTGTTTTTGCAGTGTAACACATCTCCCTCCCCCAATATTTTGTCAATCTTTAATGCAGAGATTAAATTTCCAGCATTAACAATATGTATTCTATATATAGGTTTGTGCTCAGTGTTACTCCAAACCGTATGAACACTTCAATGATTTGAAGTGGTCAGAACGCCTGGAGTCACTCTGTATTTACAAAGCAAAAACCTGCGCATACAGATTAACCGCTTAGCTGACAGACCTCTGTCATAGAGGTGTCATCAGCCAGCAGGGATCAGAGTTACTGGCCGGCTAATGACAATTTTGGCCAACTTCTATTCCACAGAATGTCAGTCTTTGGCTAAGTGGTCAGTTGATCCCAGTGGCTTATGCAGAAGCGCATTACTGGACCACCAATAAGCATAGGAGCCTGGTGGGGATCCAGGTAAGGGGGCAAGCTGTTGATAAACAGTTTTCTCTATTATCAGGGAACCAGGCCAGTGTACTGTTATTATGCTTGGAGTAAATCTAATGTCCATGAAAGCAGCATGACAAATGTTGCTACGCCGTGGGCACCCAGAGAACTTATGTTTGTGCCCAATAAATAAAGATTGATACAAAACTTGGATATAGAGCGTGGCCATAATGGCACCAAAAAAAGACTACAGGAGGCTAACCTGACTTTAGGAAATGTGTTATGGACTTTTTCTTCTTCTTAGTCTATTCACAGACCCAGGCAAAACCTGTGCATTTTGTTTTGTCCACTTGCTATTATTTTACATAAAAATTATCAGCTTTTAACCTCATGCAAATTTCACATATTAATAAATAACTGTAGTCCCTAACTAAAGATGGATTTAAATCTACTTGAGCTTGGAGCTCAAGTTGTCATGGTGCCATAGAAATTGGATTTTTTTTCAGACTTTTGTTTTTAAATCATGGTGGTCAGTGAAAATTTCTTCTCTGACCAGCTCGGAAATGGACTCTTTCTACTTGCTGCATTCTTACTCACCGGGCGGACCAAAAAGGAATAGGACTTTGCTTACTAGCACCTTTACTCTACCTGTATACAGCACAAAACAAGGGAAGCTCTGACGCTGCACCTGTCACTGCAAGATGTATAGCCTGCCCACTCCCCACACAGAAAATTTGGTATATGCTTGAGAGTGTGTGTCTCTATGTACAAAAATGTGAGTGCATCTGTAGGCATGGTTGGCTACTAATTGTGTTTTATGCATGAGTGAATGATGAGGAATAATTGTGAGTGTGGTTCATTAGGTATTTAGGAGAGTGGTATAAACAGTGTGTGGGAGTATAGCCAAGTCAGTCCGAGTGTTTATGTGCATGCATGTGAAGAAAATTGACTGTTAAAGAGTCTAGGAAATTTTGCCAAGGTGAAACCAAACATGCAAGCTCTTTATAACCGTATTCTGGCACTTTAGTTGCAGTTGGTTAATGTGCAAATTACTGCAGTCAAAGAGCTAAATAATAACAGACAAATGAACAGGAGCTCTCATTATTATATATAATATATATCAAAACTTATTTAAATATTGTCATTAGTATTTAGGTCCCCTTCCCTAGTAAAACAAAACAAAAAAACCCTATTAAATAAGTTATAAACTTACCAACTCCACGCACTGATTTCAATGCCCCAGTTAATGTCACAGTATTCCTCTCAAGGTCCAAGGAAATTCTTCCCATAAAGAAGCATTTGATTGGACTATTCTCACCAATTAAGAGCACGTGTGTACTCTGTTTATGAATATATAGCCACAATATTTCTGTGTGTTCAGAAAACTCTCACATACAAACTGCTACCAATATGAAAACTAAAAAAAAAAATTAAAAAAGGGGGGAGGGGAAGGATTGATGTGGTCATGGCATGCTAGTTGGAGTAATGTCAGACTACCCAGCAAGAGAACTAAAATGTTAAAAAAAAAAATTCTTATATAGGAGATATAGGCCAACTTTAAAGAACAGTCAGGACTGGAAGTTTCGTTCTTTTCCATTACTCAGTCTAGTATAGCACATCTAATGGACCCTCTAATGTGCAACCTAAACAAATGAACACTATTACAATTTGAAAGACAATGATCACAACTCTTTGGTAGTTTTAAGAAAATGTTTAATTATCGAAAAACAGAAGTGACAGTATTTCCAAATTATGTATATAAAACATATTACAAAACAAAAAAAAAAAAAAAATAAGAAAACACGTACTACAATTTATTACTTAAAAAGGATAACACTGGGTTCTCCATTTTTACAGTGGCTGCTGTCACCTTGCAAAAAATAAACAAAATTTAAAATACATGTTTATATAAAAAGATCTCAAGGACGTCTATCAAGAGATGCTACACAACTCCAAAGCAAAGCCTGGAGAAAATAAAAATGGAAGAAAGGCAGGAGTGGAGGCGAATAAAATTATATATTACACACACGTCTGAAATAAGGGCAGGAAGAAAATAAAATTGCCGTAACTAAAAAGGTTCAAGAATGTTCAAGGTATGTTCCACAAAGTATTAATAAATATTATTATTAATATATCTGTGTTAAACAGGCTAAACCAATGAAACAATGAAAAAAAAAATGCAGGATTTTATAATATTGATATATCATTTGAAAACCCTCATCAAAAATATATTTTTAAGCTAGTTATTCTGAAAATATTAAGATCAATTCATTTTTAGTCTAATTTTATTGCAGGTAGACTTTATTTTACTTTTTTCTTTAACTTTCAAACCATATTATTATTAAGTTTCAAGAATGATAGCAAGCCTTACAAATAGTGTATCCAACACAAAGTGGGCACAATAGGGTACAGATGAGCATACAATATAAACAAGGTAGTGCTGTAATTGTTGAATATGTTCTCTATGGATAGTCAACACAAAGAATTGACCCTTAAAAAGGTCAGCCAGTGGCTAATAGAGAAATCTGGATAATGCTTTCAGAGCCCAAAAGATATCAAGTTAGGAGTTATATCACTTTATTTATACAGTCCTAGTCACACGTCCCTGTATGTGTATAACTTTCCTAGCCACATCTAATGTTTACATTTCCTTAATTGCCCATTCTGATTAATTTAGAACATCTTCTTGGTTAATAGCCTCTCAGACCCTGCAGGAGCCTCCTTTGTGTGAATATATTCAATTTACAGAGCAGGAGATAAAACTTCTAAAGTAAGTTAACATTTGACTGAAAATTAAATTCGTGTGTTCCACTGTAATTTCAGCTCTCATTAAAGGACCACTATAGTGCCAGGAAAACACACTCGTTTTCCTGGCACTATAGTGCCCTGAGGGTGCCCCCACCCTCAGTGACCCACTCCCGCCGGGCTCTGGGGAGAGGAAGGGGTTAAATTCTTACCTTTCTCCAGCGCCGGGCGGGGAGCTCTCCTCAGCTGAATGCACATGCGCGGCAGGAGCTGCGCGCATTCAGCCAGTCTCATAGGAATGCTTTCCTATGGACGCTTGCGTCTTCTCACTGTGAAAATCAATGAGAAGCATGCAAACGCCTCTAGCGGCTGTTAATGAGACAGCCACTAGAGGCTGGAGAGGGAGATTATATATATATATATATATATATATATATATATATATATATATATATATATATATATATATATATATATATATATATATATATATATATATTTAATCCTAGAGGGATCTGGCACCCAGACCACTTCATTAAGCTGAAGTGGTCTGGGTGCCTAGAGTAGTCCTTAAAGTGCCTTTGTAAATATTATAAACCTCTACTAAAGGATTAATAGGGCTTCCTTCTGGTGCAGATTTAAAGAAATAGTTAATATTAAAGGAACACTCCAGGCACCCAGACCACGTCTGCCCATTGGAGTGGTCTGGGTGCCAACTCCCACTACTCTTAACCCTGCAAGTGTAATTATTGCAGTTTTTTTATAAACTGCAATAATTACCTTGCAGGGTTAACTCCACCTCTAGTGGCCGTCTACTGCCTCAGGTAAGTTACTGAAGGGGTTTTCACCCCTTCAGCAACCGGGGATTGGGAGGTGGGAGGGAGAGGAAACCTGCAGTGCTAGGAAAACAGATTGTTTTCCTGGCACTGGAGTTTCCCTTTAAGAGTGAATATATTCTAAGGAAGATGCCAAAATATGCAATTCTGTTCATTTCTAGACAACTAGTACAGCTTAAAGATAAATAAAGCAAAATAGATTTATTTTGTTCAGATTGCCTCCATGAATTACGGTTTTCAAGTGTAACAGTTACGGAATTTTTATGTGGGGAATATAATGTTAATAGCAGTCATCCAATCCAGAAGTATATATTCATAGACAGACTACACATTGCATTTCAACAAGCGCATTTTCACACTTTATGAAATGTTTATATCACATAGCTCTGCCAGATTGTGTGTGTGTGTGCCACTTTAAAGAGCACAGGATTTGAATTATGGCAACTTACATTGGACCCTTTCTACAGCGATTACCATACTTGGGTAGACATTTGCTGGATTTTGGAGAAGTCAAGTTACAGAGGACATAGACACAACAAGAGAACATAGTCTTAGAGGGGCAAAGGTTTAAAAATTATATCCGGAATTATTACTTTACTGAGAGGGTAGTGGATGCATGGAATAGCCTCCAGCTGAAGTGGTAGAGGTTAACACAGTAAAGGAGTTAAAGCATGCGTGGGGTAGGCATCCTAGCTATAAGATAAGGCCAGGGACTAATAAAAGTATTTAGAAAATTGGGCAGACTAGATGGACTGAACGGCTCTTATTTGCCGTCACAAATAAGACATATCAATTTCAGTAATTAGATTTGCAATTCACACCAATTTATTGGGCAAATGTCACTTTTGGAACAAAATATAAGTCCCTAATCTGCACTTTGCTCCCACCATAATATACCATTTTCAAAAGGAGACAACAAAGGCTATCTACCTTGGTTGTTTCATCATACATCTCTCCCAAATCTAGCACAAGTTGTTTTTCACATACATCTAAAGACTACCTTGTGAATTTCACAGACATTTGGTGTCATATTATTGCAAACATTCATGATTTGGTTTTCTGCTGCAACTCTTGGAAAACAACCAATTGTAGCTAAATTCTAACTTAACAAATACCATTACCATCATTGGTAATGAGAAACTTTAATACAGGACCTTAAAAAAAAATAAAATACACTGCCAAGTCTACTTTAAATCAAGTTCGTCACTACAACATAGCTGGAAGAGCTAATTAGATTGCAGTAATTTAACTTTGCTATTATGTAATGAAGGATAGTAAAATTCATCATGCATAAAGCTTTAATTAAATGGCTCAGGAAATAAAGCTTATTGATTTAGTTTGTCTGCCTTTAGGATAATTGACCGGTTCTGAAATGAAAAGCTTACTCACCAAATGTATTTTTGCAGATTTCCGAATCTAACAAAAATCACTGCATTTACTGAAAGGAAACCACTAGCATTTATCATTAATGCTTTTCAACTTATATGCAGCTTAGTTTTGGGAAGAAAAAAGGATTAAAAACTCTTAAATGGATAGAAAATATATATGTCTATATCCATCTGTCTCATCACACACATTGTTATTTACCAGTCTGCATGTTTTAGTTTCAAGATTATATTTCCAAGTTGATAGCAAATATTCAATAAAACTATGCTGACAGGAGGGATTTATTCATATTTGCTTGCCGTAGGTTGTTCTACTAAAGATAATGCACAAAAATCAGCAAAGGTCGGGGCCATATACAATTTGGCCAATCAGTACCTCCTCATAGATGAATCAATGCATCTCTGAGGAAAAATTTAGCATCCCCATTCAGAGCATGGAGACGCTGAATGGCAGTGCTGCCTACCGTGCAGCACTGAGCCAGGAAGCAACTCCAGTGGCCATCTGAGGAATGGTCACTTGGAGGTGTCCCTCTGTGCAATGTAAACACAGATAGGCAGTGTTTGAATGAAAATGCCTGCATAAGGGCATATAATGATTATACGCACCATAACAACTACTTTAGGCTGTAGTTGTTCTTGTGACTATAGTGTCCCTTTAAAATCTATATTCCATACAGAGTATTTCTAAAAATAGCAATATATGCCCTGTTTCAATCTGTTTTGAGAAGAAAGGAAAAAAATAAACCCAAAACATGAACCCCTCTTCCCCTTACAGAGTACCTCTAACAGTGAATGCTATTGTCAGTCAAACACAGCTGAGCAAGACTTTTTTTCAACTTTGCCTTGTTGTACAGATGTTATGTGCAAGTATTCAGTAGCTACTATATGTAATCACCCTGTATCTATGAATTCTAGTTTATTCCTCCAAAAACACATTTGAAAAAAAAAAAAAAAAATCCCAATTCTTCTGCAATAGGGATACGAAAAAACACATACCATTGTCAACAGGTTACACAGTTGATTTAGTGGTTTCAAAGCTCTACATCAGATTCAGAGCCTCAGCTAATAAAGAGAGGTTAAAGGACCACTATAGTGGCAGGAAAACAAAACTTGTTTTCCTGGCACTATAGTGCCCTGAGGGTGCCCCCACCCTCAGGGTCACACTCCTGCCGGGCTGACGGGGGTTAAAAAAGCTGGGGACTCTCCTCCTTTGGCGGTCATCGGCTGAATGCGCATGTGCGTCAAGAGCCGCGCACATTCAGCCAGTCCATAGGAAAGCATTCTCAATGCTTTCCTATGGACGCTGGTGTCTTCTCACTGTGAAAATCACAGTGAGAAGCGCGGAAGCGCCTCTAGCGGCTGTCAATGAGACAGCCGCTAGAGGCTGGATTAACCCTAATGTAAACATAGCAGTTTCTCTAAAAAACTGCTATGTTTACAGCAGGCAGGGTTAATCCTAGATGGACCTGGCACCCAGACCACTTCATTAAGTTGAAGTGGTCTGGGTGCCTATAGTGGTCCTTTAAGGCGCCATAATCTCTGCATGCCAGCGTTACTGAGATAGGAGTCTGAGTAATTTCAAAGTAAGGGGCCACATATGCCTGTCCTTTCAACAACTGCTTGGCTAATGTGAACTTCCACATTACCCTTTCAACTTTAAGTTTTCTGGAAGATACTGAATCACAACAATAAACAAGCGTATCAGTTTTATTACAAAACATAGAAGATGTAACTAGATATCAGCATACCAGTTTTTGTTATCCACATGCTGGTAAAAACAACGGAGAGGTCCATCTAGGTCTAGGACATGGAATCATATTCCATCAGCCTAGAAGGATATTCACACTTATTTAATTGTGTTGGGCTAAAGAAGACAAATTAGTGCACATTTATAAAAGCTGAATAACTGCACACTTAAAGGGACACTCCACATTCCTAAAGATTTAGATTGCTAAAGTTCTTAAGGGTAAAATACATGACCCCCCCCCCCATACTTTTCAAAATTAATCTGCACTTTTGTCAATTAAGGAATGCCCCCAGGCGGACAAACTGACAGCCAAGAGAGCTTCCTGATTCACTCCACATGAACAAGTGGTAATGAGAGCTTCTATAGGTAATCATTAGTAGACTCTACTGCTTTTCTAGGAGTATATGATCGGGTAATCAGAACATCAGATAGCTGCATTTACAGCAACTGTTGTACATGTGCCGATTTTGTCCAAACAGGAAGGGAGAGAAAAAGTAATCCACCCACAAGAAAAATTAAGTAAAATGACCTCCCTCCCAAACCCCAATTGGAAAAACTAGAACGCATAGGAATGAAGCTAAGAAAAACTGTGAAGAAATAAATAAAATTCATAGATGCACTGTTTAATGGGTCCTTCTCCAATAACAAGAGACTCCAGCAGGCATTGATCTACACTTGCTTGGAACAGCTCTGTAACTTGATGGCTTTCATGCTACGACTGCTATCAGTTTGCCCATAGGCACGTCCGACCCCCTGGAAACCCCCCTCCCCCCCGGCCATGTGAGAGTGAGGACCTCTAATGACAGGTGGTCCCCCTGCTGGCTGGAAATAAAATAAATAATTATACATATACACACACACACACACACACACATACACTGTCTAGGTGTATTTTACTATATATAGTCACGTAGACTGATACTGAATATATGAATTATATGATTATATGAATATATATATATATATATATATATAAAAATTTAATGTAATACGTAAAAAAAAATAACAAAATATATAGATGTGCGTTATTTCGTTCTAACTGTATTGTGAGAGATATATATATATATATATATATATATATATACACATACATACATACATACATATACACACACATACATATACACACACTAATTCTACATATATTTATGTAATATTTTTACATAATTAGGTATCTTAATTAATTACAATTAGTGGGACCTGCCTGACAACCCATGCCGAAAGTAAAGGGAATTTAATTTGCTAGCACTATATTTAACCCTATAACTTTCCAAGACACCATTAAAACCTGTACATGGGGGGTACTGTTCTACTCGGGAGACTTCGCTGAACACAAATATTAGTGTTTCAAAACAGTAAAATGTATTACAACGATGATATCGCCAGTAAAAGTGAAGGTTTTTGCATTTTTCACGCACAAACAGCACTTACACGGACGATATTATTGCTGCAACACTTTTTACTGTTTTGAAACAATTGTGTTCAGCGAAGTCTCCAGAGTACAACAGTACCCCTCATGTACAGGTTTTATGGTGTTTTCAAAAGTTACAGCGTCAAATATAAGGCTTGTGTTTCATTTTTTTCACATTAAAATTCGCCAGATTGGTTAGCCAGAATGGCTACTAAAGACTGGACATACCCCATTTGCAATACCTTGGGTTGTCTACTATTGCAAATGATATGCCATTATGGGTGTAAATTTCTTTCCTGGGCTACTATAAAAAGTCTCAAAGGCAACCAATCTGGCAAATTTCAAATGTAACATGCTATGTTTGACCCTGTAACTTCCCAAAACGCCATAAAACCTGTACATAGGGGGTACTGTTTTACACGTGAGACTTTCCTGAATACAAATATGTGTATTTTATTGCAGTAAAAGGAAACAGTATGACATTGACCGTTAAAATGTCATGTAGAACTAAAAAATTAAAAACAATCTTATTTTCTCCCATTTTTTTCATATTAAATTATGTTTCATAGCTATATATTTGATATTAAATGAAAGCCCTGTTTCCCCTGAATAAAATGATATATAAGGGTGGGTGTATTTAATATGAAAGAGGTGAATTACAGTTGGACAGACATGTAGCGCAAATGCCAGGTTTTGTTTACATTTTGTTTTGTTCACATTGTGTACATTTGGCTCCGTCCTTAAGGGGTTAATGAATTAAAATGACATGCAAATCGAAACAGAAAGCTAAACACCAGGCTTGCTCATACCAATACGTGCTACTGCAACCCCCAATCTGAATCTGATGAAAATATATTAAAATAACTGACACGGTTCTCTAGATTAGAAGAGAAAAAGGAGTGAAGTACTGGTGGGTGGAGGGGGGAGGAGAAGGAAGAGAAGGGGGGCACTTAACTGTACAGTAATCATTACCAAGATTATAAGCAGCCACTACATCTGTTTCCATAGCAACTCACTGCCATTGATCTTGCATAATCATAAACCAAGAATAAAAAAAAAAACAGACTTGGGGAACCAGAATAAAACAGAAGTTTTAAGCAAACATTAAGTAACATTTTGGTAACGGCTCTACAGCCCATCAACTACATTACAGGAATCTTAGAAATCATAATATATGTAAACGATTACCAGCAATAACAACAAGTTGAAGTATAGGGACTAGAAGGTCCATTTAAAATAAAATGGGGGGGGGGAGTGAATAATAAAATTAGAGCAAGTCACATATGAGGGTTAGTCACCACCCTTTGCAGTTACTTGGTCAGTGGCAGCCCACCTTTAAAGGGGCACTATAGTCACCAGAACTACAGCCTAATATAGTTCTGGTGAGCATAATCATTACCTGCAATAAACCCTGTCTTTACAGAAAAAAGGCAATATTCACATTGCCCCGGAGGTGCTTTCTGGGGGCAGAACTGCCATTCAGTATCGCCATGCTGAACTTTCTACATAGAGATGCACTGACTCAATGCATCTCAGAGTAGATGCTGAATGGACAAGCCAGATTTGGCCCCACCCCCATCGTGCTGATTTCAGCCAATCCAATGATTTCCCTATGGGAAAGCACTGGATAGGCTGAGATTAAATTCTGATGTCAGCAAGAGGGCAGATTGGACCTGCGCTGCGCTGAAAATAAGGTATGTTTTATTACCTTTTACGGGGACTAAGAAGGGCAAGCCACCTAAACAGTGGTTTTACTGGTAATTCTGGTGACATCATAATTTCCAATTTTTTAGTCAATCCAATGCTTTCCCGTAGGAAAAGCATTGGATTGGCTAAAATCGGCAAGGGGCGAGGCCAAACGCCTTTTTGGCCAACCAGCACCTCCTCATAGAGATGCATTGAATCAATGCATCTCTATGAGGGAAAACTCAGCGTCCCCATGCAGAGGGTGGAGACGCTGAACGGCAGAGCTGCCCCAGGAAGCACCTCCAGTGGTCATCTGAGGAGTGGCCACTTGGAGGTGTCCCTATGGGCAATGTAAACACTGCCTTTTCTCTGAAAAGGCATTGTTTGCATTAAAATGCCTTAAGGCAATGATTATACTCACCAGAACTACATTAAGCTATAGTTGTTCTGGTGACTATAGTGACCCTTTAACTAGATACTGCAGAAAATAATGCAAAAGAGTAGGTATGTGTACAGCAATGAAGTTAAGTATAAATGAAACTGAAAACCCAAGATTGGATACCCTAAGGCTCAAGTGAAAATTTTCAGTTGGAAAATGTTGGTATTTAAACAGAGGTAAAACACGTAGGACACATTCACACAGGGTTATTTATTAAAGTGAGAATACAAAGCCGATTTCAAATCTAAAGAACCCAAATTGAAAAACTCTAAGCTATGCATTCCTGTTCAGCTACTCTGGTCTTAAATTTGAAATCTCACTTCAATGAATAGCCCTGACAAGGATAAACAACAATAGTACACTTGCATACACACACACATACACACACAGACATACTACAAATTAAGTGTGGCAAGTTGGATTCACTTATAAAACAGTTTTCCCATGTTAACCCTGCTAGGTGCCCATACTAACTCTTTCTGCTCACAAGTTCAATATATCCTATAAAAGGGTTGTTTTTATATGCTGCCCACAGCATCTAGTCATATATAAAATCTTGAACATGAACTCAAAAATTACACACATGCCTGACAATTTTGGAACCCATTCTTAAATCCTAAAGTCCTAAAGTTCACTTCTCAAATGTGATAAAGTATACAACCTAATAAATCCCACAAAACACCCACTGCCAGAAAGTGCTGCTTTAGTAAACAATCTAACACACAATCTCTTGAACATTAATTCCTACTGAAAACAGAATGGGTAACCATTTATAGGCTTTAATAATTCCTGGTTTCAAATTACACAAGCATCTAATAAGTTAAGCTGAATGTTTTCCACAAGCAGCTCAAAAAAAATAAAAAAAATAAAAAAAAAGGGGGTAAGAAAAAAGGAGGAAAGCAGCAGCTTAAATAGGGCCCCCTGGTTTATAACAGCAGCCTGATGATAATAACAGTCAGGCCCAATTCCCCATCCTTCCTGTCAGTCCCATACAATGTACACAAACAATTCACAATGTGTGAACTGACTCCACCCAGCGGCCGCAGCTCGGTACTGCACCCCCTCCCTCCTGTCACTCACACACAGAGCAAGGCCCAGCCCAAAGACAGTGAGAGCGAGAGAGATACACACACAACAAAATGGCGGACGGCGGCCGGTCACGTGACCCCCTTTGTGCTTTCCAGGTCTCCGAAACGACCTGCAAACCGGCCCCGGCCGCCGCCAGCTCACTGCATCCACTCACACTCACACTGCCGGGGGTGCAGCATGCCCGGGGGGGCTCAGGGGCCACCAGAGGGGGGGGGGAATGGCGGCCATTTTGTGTAAGCTTGCAACCCCCCCACCTCCCCCCCCACAGTAATAACAACCCCCCCTCCCCGGGAATTACCGACTCCTCTTCCTTCTCCATGCCGGTCGGCATCTGCGGCACGGCCCGGTTGATGGAGGCGTACTCGTGCAGGTCCGGCAGGTCCTCGCAGCGGAAGACGGGGAGCGGTTTGGACGCGTCCAGCGCCCGCGCCCGGAACGACAGCTTGCTCATCTTCGGTCTACCACCGCCACCGAGCGGCCATGCGGCGACCGAGCGGGAGGAGGAGCGGGCAGAGCCTCCGGTGCCGCGCTCTCATGGAGGGAGCTGCTCTCCGGCCGGACCCCCCGTGATGGCCGTGTGGGGAGGGAGGGGGTAACGGGGGGTAACTGGGGGGAGCCGGCGGGTAACACGGGGGGGCAGGGGGGGGTATCTGGCACTCCCGGTGCCCGCGGTGGGTCTGAAGGGGTTTTTTGGCGGGTTTTCTGTGCGATTCGGTGTCTCCCACTCTCCCTCCCTCTTCAATACGCCACGGCCAACATGGCGGACATTAAAACTCCACTGTCTGCTCCCCCAGCCAACCCGAGCTGCGCAGCCATTCCCAGAGTGCATCGCGCGCCCGCCCGCCAGCCAGAGAGAGGGAGCGCGCGCGCCCGCCAGCGAGAGAGAGGGAGAGAGCGCGCGCGCTACACCTATACCTCTACCACTAACAACCGCCAGCACGAGCACAGCGCGGGAGCGCGCGAAAACAAACCTCTTCAAACTGTTCAATATGTTCACATAACATGATCATCCACAAAGTGTGTCAGAAACCATGTATAACAGCACTGCTAGAGATAATAAACTGCTAATAACATTATTTACACGGTCACTTGCTAAACTGTAGAAACTGACAGGAATTCAGTCAAAACTAAAATAAATAAACAAAAAAATAAAATAAACATTGACAATATATCCCTACTTCGGCCTGAAATTAGGGATTATTCTAGCGTCTGTGACCAAATAATCGACATTTTATTAAAAGATAGGAGGCAAATTCATTAAAGAAGGTTAGGTAAACGTGGAGCCTCCCAGTCTGCTCACAAAATGTGACATTCATGGCAGTTCACACTATAGTAAATAAACAGTTAGTGAAGAAAAAAAGTCTTTCATTCACAGGGTTAATTAGAATTAAAGGATAAACAAAGCGGTTTTCCTGACTCTATAGTGCCCTGAGGGTGCCACCTTCAGTTACTTACCTTAAGCCAGTGACCTCTCCCCCGCTGACGGAATTTTCCGAGTGGAGCAGAATGCGCATGCGCGGCCAGTGCCGTGCACGCATTCAAACAGTCCACAGGGAAAGCATTTCTCAATGCTTTCCTATGGACGCCCTGCGGAATGGATGCCAAATTTGCATCCAGCGTCGCAGATGCGCCTCTCGCAGCTGTCAGGAAGACAGCCACTAGAGGTTGGCTTAACCCCGAATGAAAACATAGTTTCTCTGAAGGGTTAAAACCTGAGGGCCCTGGCACCCAGAACACTTCATTGAGCTTTAGTGATCTGGGTGACTATAGTGTCCCTTTAAAATTTGAATTGAATATTGATGCTAAAATATTGTCCAGATTTATAGTGGACTTTTACCCATTTAGTGATTTTTTTATTTATTTTTTGCTAAAATGTGCAAATCAATTTACTAAAAGTTGTTGGTTGGTGAGTAAACCCCCATACAGCAGGCAACCTTTGGCACTCCAGATGTTGTGGACGACATCTCCACTGATGCTTTGACATCATTATGGGTGCGACAGCTTTATGGGAGATGTCGGCAACAACATTTGGAGTGTTGAACACTGCCTACACCTGCGTCAAAATTTGGACGAATGGCATCTTTAAGGTACAATAACCAAGTATTTTTACAAATATCCAGGGTAAATACCATAAGAATTTAGACTTGATGTAAATTAAATTTTCACGTAGATAGTTGCTTACCGAGCAGTTTCAATAATAACTTAAAATTTGCAAGAATAGCCTACTCCATAGTTAACCTTGTAACCCGTACCCTGGTAATGATAATGTGCTTCTTTTGCCATTTTGTTAGGAGGTTAAGACCTGTAGTGGTTATGGTGCTGCGGTCTTCTGTTCCCTTTCCCAACAGCTGAGCATGAGTGATTATAGCTGCAGCAGGGAGTAGAGGAATAAGGTAGATGAAATGCAGTTCCAAGGTGATTCTTCCCAGCGAGTAGAATATCCCCCAAACATGAGCCTAGACTTCATGAAGGGTGTAACAGGAATGAATTTTATTGACACACACGGGCTTTTATGAGAAATCCTCCTGCAAGAGGACTTCCCACAGCAAACAAAGACAACAGCCAATCAACATACAGATTTACAGTAATACACGCCTCCTCTCTGCCTGGGAGATATTGAGATAAGTTAAGGAATAAACCAATTATCTCCAGGCAGAGAGCACACACACAATTTCCCCAAAACTTAGCCCCGATCTGGGGTACAAACATATCCAAATTTCACCCAGATCGGTTCAGGGGGTTCTGAAAAAGTGTGGAGGGTCCGTTTTACCGACCACACATGCGGCTCCTGCCCAAAACAGTTCCATGAATTCAGTGTGTACGGTTGGTCAATTCACAAATCTGTAAAAAACGAACAAAAGTCCCGAATGGATCCCCTGGCTCATAGCACCGATTGCTCCCCTTGTCCGTTCGCATAGAACTACCGAACGGCGCTTCCCTGGCTGTTCGGGAAATACAAGAAGCCGGCGTTCGGTGGTTCGCGAGGTCGAGTGTCCGATTTTAGTTCTAGACACTCGACCACCAAGTCCCGCTGACTCCCCTTGTGTGAACAAGATGGCCGCTGTTTTCTATTCCACGTGGCGTTCGGCTATACGAACAGCAACCGCCCAGGGAGCACTTAATAGCTGGTTCCATTGTAGTTAATAAGCCAGGAGGGTGGTCGGCGTTCGGTAGTTTCAAACTAACAAACAAATACATTCACTATACAGGTAGTACACAGGAAAAATACTTGATAAAGAAGAAAATGTCAATTAAAAGTCCATTTTCTTCACAATACTCCCCCTTAGTTCCATGGGTCGGCATACCCGCCTAGACCCTGCCGGGTTGACTAGGGGATGTCCGGGTAACATATTTAACATCCAAGTCCGTTTGACAGGAAAGCCCATACGCATTGCCATTCTGCTTGCCCGGACGATATTGCAGCGTAAAATTGTAGAGTTGCAATGCCAAACTCCAGCAACCGAGGATTGTCTCCAGAGACTCGGTTGAGCCAAATGAGGGGGTTGTGGTCAGTCAGTAGGGTAAAAGCACGGCCATAAAGATACGGTTGAAGTTTCTTTAATGCCCATACTAGCGCCAGGCATTCTTTTTCCACGGCGGCATAGCTGACCTCCCTAGGTAGCAACTTGCGACCGGGTGCTCCATGCCGTCTTCCCCCACCTGGCTCAGCACGGCTCCCAGCGCAAACATGGAGGCATCTGTATGGACGAGAAATGTTTTGTTAGGGTGTGGGGCCGCCAGTACTGGAGCTTCGCTCAAAGCCGTTTTAAGTCTCTGGAACGCTGTTGCACACTCCGGGGACCACCCTACCTGCTTAGGTAGGGACTTTTTGGTCAGGTCAGTAAGGGGTTTGGCAAGGGTGCTATACTCAGGGACGAACTTTCTATAATACCCTGCGGTACCTAGGAAGGCCAATACCTGCATCTTGGTGCGGGGCTGGGGCCAATTAGCTATGGCCTCTACTTTAGCAGGTTCGGGGCACTGTTTCCCAGACCATACTCTATGCCCTAGGTATTGGACCTCGGCCATGCCCACATGGCATTTCTCGGGTTTCAGGGTGAGGCCAGCTTCCTGTAACTTCCCAAATACCGTAGCTAAGTGCAACAGGTGTGACTCCCATGTGCCGCCATAGATGGCAATATCATCTAGATAGGCACATGCAAAGTCCTGCATTCCCTCCAGAAGTCGGACCACCATTCTTTGAAACGTAGCGGGGGCATTCTTCATCCCAAACGGCATAACCGGAAATTGGTATAGCCCGAATGGGGTGACGAATGCCGACTTAGGGATGGCGGCCGGATCTACCGAGATTTGTCAGTATCCTTTGCACAAGTCTAATGTAGTTAGGAAGTGCCCGCTGGCCATGCGATCGAGCAGTTAGTCGATCCGCGGCATGGGGTAGGCGTCCGTGATAGTCCGGTCGTTCAATTTCCGGTAATCAATACAGAAGCGAGGCGTACCGTCTCACTTTGATACTAAAACCACCGGAGACGCCCATGGACTTTGGGAAGCCTCAATAACCCCCAGTTGTAACATCTCTTGAATTTCCTTCCACATACTAGTCCACACTGCTGTCGGAATACGGTACGGCTGCTGCCGTAAGGGGGTCTTCCCCCTGCGTCTCCACCCGGTGCACTGCGGCGGAGGTGTACCCATGTAGGACTGAGAACAGCTCACCGTATTCCCGCAGCAGTTGTTTTGCGTCTGCCTGCTGGGCGGTGTCTAATTCCTCTCCTAACCCGACCTGTTCTAAGGTACCTTGGTTAGCTGCCAGCAGGTCGGGCAAGGGGAGCCCTTCACTATCATCAGAAGACTGGGCACAGATGGCGGCCACGTCCTCTGAGCGTTCGAAGTACGGCTTCAACATGTTCACATGAAAGGCTCGTCTGACCCTTTCATCGGAACATTTAGCCACAATATAGGTGGTGTCACTAATTCGTTCTACCACTTTAAATAGCCCCTGCCAAGCTGCCTGGAGCTTGTCCTTTTTGGAAGGTCTGAGGGCTAGTACTTTTTGCCCTACTTCCAGGTTCCTGTCTCGGGCTCCCCGATCATACCATTGTTTCTGATGTTTCTGGGCCACCTGCAGGTTCTCCCGAACTGATTTGGTCAGGGCCTGCAAGCGGTCCCGGAACTCCAGCACGTATGGCAAAACTGGGATCCCCTCCGCTCCTGTGTTGCCCTCCCAGTGCTCTCGTATGAGGTCCAGGGGTCCCCGGACTTTTCTCCCGTATAAGAATTCGAAGGGGGAGAACCCAGTGGCACGTGTGGCACTTCTCGGTAGGCAAATAGGAGGTGAGGTAAAAACTTCTCCCATTGACCATAGGACTCTGAACGCCGTGAACATTTGCTTAAGTGTGCCGTTGAAGCATTCGGTGGTTCGCGAGGTCGAGTGTCCGATTTTAGTTCCAGACACTCGACGACCAAGTCCCGCTGACTCCCCTCGTGCGAACAAGATGGCCGCCGTTTTATATTCAACGAGACGTTCGGCTCTACGAACAGCGGCCGCCCAGGGAGCACTTAATAGCTGGTTCCATTGTAGTTAATAAGCCAGGAGGATGGTCGGCGTTCGGTAGTTTCAAACTAACTAATACATTCACTATACAGGTAGTACACAGGAAAAATACAGAATAAAGAAGAAAATGTCAATTAAAAGTCCATTTTCTTCACAGAGGTATACTGTACCCAAGACACGAGCCACATTAAAAATATCAAACACGAACCCTTAAACGGGTTTACAGTACTGTGTTCTTTTGATCAACCTGTAATACCAAACCGCTCATGTCAAAAACTCTAGCACAAAAACAATATGTCACACAATTATTGTTACTTACGGACCACAGTAATCAACTAATTGCATGGTGTGCACATGGTCCACCATATTTGAGAGACATGGATCATTTGTACCTGCAGACGGACAGGACATGAAAAGAGATGCACGGTGTCATAAAGTGGTTTATACATTGAGGGACATTATAGGCACGAGAACACTTTATATCATTGATAAAGTGCCCCTGTCCCCTTTATTGTGCAATATTAATGGTTGCCATTTCTGGAAAAACTTCAACTTCCCGCATTTTGAAAACCCCCTAGGGAAGCTTTTCCTCTGAGCGTGCAGCGCTTGCTGTTGTCGCGAGAGGACGCTCCAGATCCAGCACCAAGGAACCGCCGTACTTGAATCAGGTTAGTGAATGAAAGGTTATGTAATTGTGTGGTGTGTATGTATACAGTGTCAATGTGTGTATAAATGTAGGGTGTATTTCCGTAGTGTGATGGATTTATGTGGAACATAGTGTTGTATGTGCACTATGGAGGGGGAAAACAGTTGACCATCCACCTCCATAAGTATATTTAACAATGTTACTTACAACAATTCTCATGCTACAGTTTAACTGTATTTAGAATCTTCATGATTTCCCCATAACACTACACCATTTTCTACATGGGTCACCAGACCTCTGGATGTTACTTTGGCAAGGGGAGGCAGTGATATATCATCCCCCCGCGCCCCATATCATAGTGGTAAAGCCTACATTTACTCGAACTTGGTGATTGGCTGCACTTCTAAAAAATGACCTGGTCAGCATCACACAGCTTGTGTTAGTATGCAGCACTACCTAGCACACACACACACACACAGGTAGGGTAGAGATACGTATATGGTATGTAGGGCAGAGACAGATATATAGGATAAAATTATAGGCAGGCATAGGTACTGGACGTTAGAATGGCTACAGTTATAAGATACCTTCCAGGTGGTGAAAGACAAGATGCTGCAAGTCCTGCTAGGTCAGGGATAGCTGAGATCACAAAGTTGAATGCCAAAGTCAAGGAACCAGAAACAAATATACCCAAGACAAACCACCAGAGCAACACAAGACTCTAATCAGGGGCTTTTTATGGCAGGGTGGGTAGTATGGGACACTGAGCATCTCACTGGGTTGAGGGGTCTTACAGGTTCCTAAATAGAAGCCCCCTTATAGTTTGCTTACATGGGAAGCCCTGGTGTCCAATAGTGTGAGACTGCACTGGGGAGCTGTGCTTCAGCTAGTTTCTTTAGGGGGTCGTAATGCCTGGAATTGCACAAATTATCCCAATAAAGCTGAATTGGAAACAGAGCCAACCTGGAGGTGTGTTGTGTGTGTGTCGTCCCCCACCCCATCCATTAATTTGATACTACCTAGTCAATTCCCTACAATTTACAGTTTAGTATTACATAGAATGCATTAAAAATAGGTTAGCTGCTACCCCCTTATATTGCTATAATTGGTTTGGTTTTTTTAAAGAATAATAAAAGCCAGTTCATATAATCATTCATTATTTATGAATGAAATAAAAAACCAAAACAATATATTTTCAAAGTCTAAATTTACATCAGCCATTTCTTCTGCAGAGTGTTTGCCCTCTACAGCCAGCTGCTTGTATTGCACATACATATTTGCAAATATAGGTTCTCAATGGTCGCTTCTTGACCATCACCTATACGTTATGGCAACCTTTTTTTCCATCTGATGCTCTTTATTTTAAATTTGCCGTAAAGAGTTATGAAATCACATATCGTAATGCAGTTCAGACAAGGTAAAGTCTGGGCACACATTGCAAATGAAAAGGAAAGGGGGAAATGGAACATTGTTTTGTGTAATATCCTCTTCTCTGAATGCTCTGTGCTAATTGTCAGACGCAAAGGGCAGAGCCCATAGCAATGACTGACAGGCAGCCAACATGGAGGCACTCAGTTGCATGAAAAGAGGTCTTGATTTGTACCTTACATTTTCACATCATCTCAAACACAGATTTATTAAAGAGGCTTTGTCACTCCCTATCACAATAGATATGTGTTAAATTCCCTCCCCTGCTGCCCTTATTTTTTTTTTTTTTTTTTTTAAAACAAATCTTATTTTTAAAAGTTATACATAAGTAAAAGTAGTCCTTACTTTCCCTATGTATAACCTTCCGGTTGACAAAAGTTGGAACTTTAGTCAGGTTCTACGGCCTTTGGCAACTTTTTAGTTGGCGGTTCACAATTCAGTCCAGCGTCACATCATTTCTGGGAGCAATGCGTCACTGACACTGTGTTGAGCGCCATCGAGGGAGCCAAGACCGTTCCACTGGAAGCATTGGGTGTGCATGTGATTTAAAGAGAACGCCCAAGTAAGGGCAGAACATTCCTAGACCCCATCTTTGAAACCCAAAGATGGCGTTGCTGTGAAAGAAGATCCTGCAGGACTGGCACAATGTTGGAAAAGGTAAGTCGCACCAGTCCCAGGGCCTAATATGGTTGGGCTACAGAGTGCCTCTTTAAATACAGGAAGAAATAAACAGAATATTAAAAAAAAAAACATTAAAAGGCTTTGAAGCAGAAGGATCACTTGTGGGGAATTTGTATTTTCTTTTTGTTTGCAAAATCGCCTTTCTCACCTTATCCTCAAATATGGTGTTAGACATTGCATCCGGAGAGAAAGAAAGTCAGGTATAAATACCTAATTCTCTCTTCTGAGAATACATTCTATTCAGCTCAAGGTATATCTGCCAAGAGCCACATCCCTGGTACGCTCCTGTGTAGGGGCAAAAGAAGGGTTCTATGAAAGATTCAATAAGAATGTAAGATTCTTCAAAAATTATTGCACATGTTCCATGGGATGGAATCACCATCTATTATGAGGCATGCACGCAGATTCTGGCTCCAGTCAGCAGTGGATGGGAAATGGCAAAAGGTCACAATGAAAGCCACTTGAGGCTCCTTCCCACATTTAGAAAAAAATTATAGTCAATTTGACAAAGTATCTACTTATCTTTTATTTTCTAAGTGTACTTAAGTTTCAATGAAAACCAACAATGTCTTCATGCTAGTTTTATATTTCTGAAAAATGTAAATGTACAATCAGGATGTAAAACATACATATCACTTAAAATTATATTTATTCTATTTTTTCGGGATTCCAAGGTCCATCGTCTCTTTACACCTTTCCCTAGTGTGGGCATTAAGGTGAACCCAGCATAACAGGTACACCTCTACTGATAATATCTCCTAAAGCAATGCCTATCATAAAGATAAATAATATCTTCTAAGCCAATGGAAGATCTATAAATTGTATGGTTACTTCCTCTTCAGCATCGTGGTCACAGCCATTATCCAGAGTTCATGGACATTACACAAATCTAACACCCACAGTCAGCTTCAATGTAACCACCATTCACTGCTATTAGCCTTGATTGTGAATTCCGATGCTTCATTGCCAATACACTGACATTAGAAAGGAGTGACATCTTCCTATACTCCTCTAGTAAATGCAACATGCTTTTAGTAGAGGAATATATCACAGCAACTACACTGCATGCAAAGTAGTTGTGATCGGAAGCAGGATCTTTTAGATATTCATTCATCAATATTTTTCCAATAAAACACACACACACACTCTTCATTCACACATCAAGTGGATAACATCTCCCTCTTTCATAGTAATCTGTATTTTGATTTTATTTAAACCTAGTTAAGTTACCATTGATCAATTCTTTATACAGTTGTTTTCCTGGTAGGATGAGTTAAGAATGAAACCTATGGTTTTTCATTTTGTTATGAAGATGAAAACAGGTGAACGGCCTGTTGGCTTAGCAGTAAAGGCTATATTTATTGGGGACTAGCACAGCTGTGAGTGCAGGTGACCAGGTTCCATATGACGTGATCAGCATCCCAAAATTCCAACCATGGAACCTGCGTGTTGGGAATTCTGTGATGCCAAGTGCGTGACTATGGGGCGGGGTTGCTGTATGCCCAGGTGGCTTTATCCATTTTAATGCGTGATACTTTCTGTCAGTTTCACAAGCTCAATGTACATACTTTAGCAATACCTAACTAAAGGTCAACGTGCTTTCCGCACACTCTACAAATGACAGAGTCTCTTTAAAGCAGAATTGTCAGTTATAGAATCTTTGCATCATTTAGTAATACGCCCACCACCACCACATGGTGACAAATCCACAACTATGGCAAAGAACTAAGGGAGATGAGATCATGGGAGATGAGGACTCTAGGTTCTGTATAATTGGCAACCCTGAAACATAATCACCTCATCGAAGATAAAGGTGAGATTTATTACCTGAACCTGTCCCTTGTGGGCACAGTTATCACTGCTGTACTCTTGCACATGCGTGAAAATACAGCATTGAGGTCTCACCATCCTTATCGGTTGGGGGTATCCCTAGCTGTGCAGAGGGACCTACTATATAGAGTTTAAAAATACATGAAGGTAAAGTATACTCCAACCAGGCACTCAAAAGAGATGAACAAAGAGCAGTTGCATAAAGTAGTCAATACAAAAAATGCTTCATTATTTCCAAGTAGTAAAACACAGCTCCTACCAGATCCAATGAGTTTCCTGCATCATTCTGAACTTAAAGGGACACTCCAGTGCCAGGAAAACAATCAGTTTTCCTGGCACTGCAGGTCCCCTCTCCCACCCCCCTCCACCCCCATCCCCGGTTGCTGAAGGGGTGAAAACCCCTTCAGTCACTTACCTGAAACCCCCACCAATGTCCCTCGGCGGTGGTTTCTGCTCACCGCCGCTCCTCCTCCTCCTATCAACCGGTTGGCGAGACTGATCCCACCCGCCCGCCGGCTGAGGAGACCTAATGCGCATTTGGGGAATTGAGCGATGCTGGGGGTCCTCACACAGCGTGAGGACGTCCAGAGACACTCTAGCACAGAAAACCTGTGCTATGGAGCAGGAAGTGCCCTCTAGTGGCTGTCTAGTAGACAGCCAATAGAGAAGGAGTTGACCCTGCAAGGTAATTATTGCTGTTTATAAAAAACTGCAATAATTACACTTGCAGGGTTAAGAGTAGTGGGAGTATGCACCCAGACCACTCCAATGGGCAGAAGTGCTCTGGGTGCCTACAGTGTCCCTTTAAAGCAGCTCTGACAGAAAGGTGTTGGCAACCTTTGACACTCTGGATGTGGACTACATCTCCCCTATAGCCATAAAGCTGGTAAAGCATCAAGAGAGATGTAGTCCAACACATCTGGAGTACTGAAGGTTGCCTACAACTGACCTCTTCTTACCTTGCTTCTAATCTGTTCCACTTCTCCTCCTCCTCACTTCAATCTGTTCTTTTTCCAATCTTTTTCTCCTAAAAACACATAACACAAAGTAGGAACTTTGTATTATGCCTTATGTATTTTTCCTCCACTTGACAAAAAGGCGGAGTTACTTCATCACAAGACATCTATGGAACTTCACTCGGGATCCTCCATAGACCTCAGTGATGTACTTTCCCGTATGAGAGGGAGTACAGCACTGATGTGTGTAGAATGTGGTGGCCGAGAATGTCAGATTCAAGCAAGTAAAACTTACCCTGCCCAGCACCCCAGACACCAAGTGGCAAAGTCACATTGAGGGTTTGTGCAAATTATGTTAAGACCTCAGAAGGTGATAGAACAGCTTTAAAAAGGAACACTCCAAGCACCACAACAACTAAAACCTTCTGTAGTGGTTATGGTGCCAATCATGCTCTGGTGCGCCCTCTTAGAGGAAGTAGTCAAACTGTTTAACAATTCATCTGGGGTCCTATGGGCAACTGCAACCCTTGGGACCCTAGTAAATATGTTAAGCTCCAATGAGCGTGGCCATGTATTGGGCCATGCTTAGCTCAGGGGAGAAATCTGGCTTTTCATGCAGGAGAATCCAGACATGGCGTGGATCCCCAATGGAACCAGGTAAGTTGTTTAAACGGGCTGTAGTGGTTACAGTGCTTGAAGCAGGCCTGGACTGGCCATCGGGCAAACTGGGAAAATGCAAAGTGAGCCACGATGGTTGTGGGCCAAGGGCAAAAAGGGAGATCAAAAGGACACCATCGACCCAAAGAGTACTTTGTGACTCTTCGTGGGTTATCACAGAGCTCACTCAATGGCCCAGAGATATGTAATGCAGTAGAGGGTCCTAAAGTGGGGTAGAGTCCGCAACCTCTGGTCTGCACCTCTGCCAGATGCAGACTGTATATATCTGCATGGAAAGCTTTGGCCAAACAGAGCGTTGTTGCAGTTACCACAGCAACACTGAAAAAAACAGAGTTTTCCAGCGTCAGATAAAAGGACCAAAAGTTCACTACAATTCCGGAAGCGCCCACAGAGGCTGTCTGGTAGACAGCCACTGTGGGCAGACTTAGAGCTGTAGTGTAAACCTTGCAGCTCTCTGGAATTGCATTGTTTTACATTGCAGCACTAAGTGCAAAAGAGACACAGCACCCAGACCACTTCAATTATGCACAGGCAGCCTCCTCACACATGCACAATACCCTTTACCAGCACTGTCCTGCTTTTGTCCTCTGGTATTCCACTTATGAGGAGACCAGGAACAAGTTACTAGAAAATGCAGCGCAAGTGTGTCTTATTAATTCACTTGCACTGTGTAAAAACATTTTTCCCACCCTAGAGCACTTCAGCAGGGCTCATCACATGGCTGGTGGGACAGCAAACCAACACACACACATTTCAGTGAGCATGCTTGTCATTGGTGAGGACATTACACGATCCCTCTCTAGCCCCGCCCCTTCTATAGGAGTCTCTGCCGTGAAATGTCTGACCCGTATTTTTGTACAAGCCTGGACTTGGCTTGTGGTTTTCCTTATTAATCATAGACCATCATCTCTTTGATTGTATTGAGAATGAGTAATTCACGCTTTTGACTGGTCAGTGTCAGCTTTGTCCTACCTAGACCGTGGTTAGTGGGAAGTCTGTGCAGTGCTCTCAGTCTTGCTTTTACCGCCATCCAAATTGGACATCAGCAACAAGGAAGTGTTAATTCTACATTATAAGTGCAACTGAAGAGGGGCGGATCTCTTGCCTCAAAAAAAAAAAAAAAAAAAAGAGAAAAGGGAACTAGCCAGGATTTCAAAACAATATTATATAAAATAACTGCAACAACAAATATTTGCATTGTAAATGTGTGTTAATAAACATCTACAGACATATATGCATACAAATCCTTATTAAAATGACTATAAACCAACCAGAGAATCTGGGTCATGCTTGATACAAATCTATTATTTTATATATAAATTTCCAAGGTTGCGCTGTGAAGAGAGATTTTGATTACACAACTAATGTGCACAACTTATTGTGTCTTATCTTGTTTGTTTTCGAGTGTGTGTGTTACATCTTTCATGCAGTTTGCTAACATCACATCTGTTCAAAAAAAACTTTTCAGGGTGGAGATTGCTCTAAATCAACACATATTGCAGCAGATCTTAAAGGGAACAACAAATAAAAAACATTAAAATTATTAGAATCATATAAAATATCTTTCATCTGCCAAAACTATTGCAAAAGAAACGAAAAGGAACAAACAAAAAAAAACAAAAAAAAAATAGCCACACACTATAAAGAACCCAGTTATCAGTGAAAGCAAATGGAAGACTGCCTCCTTTGTGCACTCTTATTGCTCATATGGTTTGAAAATAAATGCAGATTTTTGTCAGTTTTAGGTTACAAATTTTAGCAGAAAAAAAATAAATAAAAATCTTTCTAAATGTTTTTCTACTGATTATTTGCTTAGCACCTGTATTCTCACACACACACACACACACACACACACACACGTATGGCGACATAAAATACACAGATCAAGTCTTGCCCCCACCTCTCTACCCTTTTCTTTTTACTGAAACTGACATATTAAATTGTTTTAGAGCAGCACAGCGCCACCAACACAGATCAATGTATAAAAAATAAATAAATAAAAAACTCCCACCGTGTGCAAAAAAAAAATATGACCAAAAAAAAAAAAATATACAAAAAAAAAAAAAGGTATTCAAAATGCTAAAATGTCTCCCTGATCAGGTTCCTTAGGAAACAGATCAAAGGCATAGAAAGGTTTTTAACTGTAAATCAAACCAGCCTTGCCATGCAAGCTCTGTTAATCACCATCTAGCGACCTGATCTTCACAAGAAATGATATAGCCACCATTTAGTACCAGTCAGAACTTAGAATATAATAAGCCTTCTTGTGGCGGTGTAGTCTTTCACCATACTTAAACAAAGATGTGGATTAGTTAACAAAATATCTACAGCAGCAACAAAACAACTATGAATGATGTTTAGATTATGTATTTTATTATCACGGATTATTTTAATAAAATTTATGTCTGAAAGAAATATTGTTAGACACAGTTGCTGTTTTTTTTGGCACCTTGTCTAGGCATGAGAGCTAAATATAAAAATACACATTAAATCATATTAAAAACCGCACATATATTTATCTGTATTTCTATGTATGCAGTTAAAGAACATACTATGTAATTAAAGATTTATAGATTTTTTTTCTACATTGTATATTGTGTGATATAAATATATGTATAAAACAGATAAAATCATTTAAAAAAAAAAAAAAAAAAATATTTAAACCCAAAATGTTTTTATTTTTGTTTTTTTAAAGGTGGATATTATGTTTAAAATATTTTAACTCTAAAAATATACACAATGAAAATATGCAATGAGGAGAAAAATAAAATAAAAAAGGAAAATCAATTTTACAAGATATTACACTGATCTGTCTTGGACTTTCTATCACTTTGAGATGAACTTGACCGTATTTATTCAAGATGATAAACTCACCTCCTAGGCAGGCAGGGTGGATGAGAATCCACAAAGTCGAATTATAAGGATAAAAATCGCAGATCTTTGCCCCAACAAATAATATCCACAAAGCAGATGTCTTTCCAGAGATCTTCAAATAGCAAGTCATTCTATTTTGTTCCATATTGCTTGACAAAAGGGAAGGTTTCCTTCTCAATCTTCAAGCTTTTGTTAAGAAAGAGGTAAAACAAAAAATAGCCAAAAGATTAGAAGAGAAAGGAGCCACAAGACTCTGGGGGTTAACAACTTTGCAATGGCAAACAGGAGGGTGGTGATTGGATAGAAGGCAGTGTCCCTCCAGTGTGCACTAACCCCCACCCCCCCATCTCTCACTCTCCCCCCCCTTTTGCAGCTTGGAAAAAAGGCAGCATGCCATTTTATACTCATATCATAGAAGCACAATCCAGCTTTTATGTCAAATCCAAACTGTGCTACCTACTGAGAAAAACCCTTCTACATTATTTACACAATATCAATTGCAACCTAACCTCATATGATATAAAGCAACTGGATAGTCTGTTCTGTTTACATGAGTGTTTAAAGGGATCAGGATTTATTTAAAAAAAAAAATTAAAAAAATTATTAATCACAATCCCCCACATTTTTAATCAGAATTAAACAATGTCATGAGAATTGCAAGTTCGAAAAAAATATGCAACAATGTATCAGGAACCTTAGCTGTGTATATTTTTTAAAAACATTGTGTTATGAAGGCTGATAAACATGGGGAGAGGGGGTTACCTACCTCTGTAGAAGAGATGTGGCATTTATCGATGCAATAAATCCAAATAAGTGTGTGCTCCCAATAAATGATTGCTGGAAGGTCTCCTGTAGCATTCACTGGCAGAAATAAACCATGCTGCCCTCAAACAAAATGGCCATCACAGGGAATTCATGGGAACCGCCTACTGCCCTCCCTTCTAATCCTCAGGAAGTGGTAAAAAATGCTCCCCCACCCCTTAAAAAGTAACATAAAAAGGATTATATAAAAACTCGATTTACAGCCTTAGTGATTGAAGGGAGACTGTTATCTGAGACCCTCTTTAACTTTGCTAAAGACAATAATTATTATCTGCTCAGCTGTCAATCACTAGAGATTTGCATGAACATGTCATCTATAAACTTCCTGATTTGCATATTCATAAAGTCTTTCACCTACCTTGGCAGATTCTGAAACACAGTGGGCTGGTGTAATGTGATGCCTGGTGTCTCTTCATTGCAGAGCTGAGTCAGACACTCTCTGTGTGCTGTTGTAAAAAGGGAGTGTGGTATGCAACACAGTATCTAAGCTGCTGGTTAACCTCTAACTCAGTGGGAGAAAGACAAAGCTTTAGCTACATTTATTTTTAAATGCTACATTTCTCCTGTGTGTGTGCTCCTTTTACCTGATTTTACTCAGCAGCACATTTCACAGCTCAGTGATAAGTTAAATAAACTGTATGCTTTATTCACATGTCCTGTTTACTCTTTAATGTGTGATTATGAAAGGCCAAAGCACATTAGTTACAAAATGTCCTAGCTGTCCTAGCTCACAAAAACTAGGTTTCACAAAATGGATGAAGTGTTTGGGAAAACAAATGAGTTGATTTACTAATGATGAAAAACTTAAGTAGGTAATTTATAAATGTAGGCAAGATTATCTAATGAAGACCTAGATTAATTTTGTTCCTAATTTTAGTATTTTGACAAATAAAAAAAAATAATCCCTTTTCCAATTGTCTACAATTTCCTATTTAATGAACAAAACTCAGAATGTTTAAAAACAATATTTAATGGCACACACTTTTTGACAGAGAAATGTAGCTCTATTAAAGAGGAACAATATTATTTTATGGCTGCAGTAATTTTCGGCATTCCACATAGCACAGAGTAAAATATGAATGGTTTATCTACTAAATGACAATGTGGGGAATCAAAATCTAAATCGAAAGTTTGAGATAGAAAATAGCTGATCTGAATTAATTTCTCATGCCCACTATAGTTAAATATAGCTTGGCTATACAGTGGGACCTTGGTTTACGAATTTAATGCGTTCTCCGGGATGTTTCTTATTGTGAAAAATTTGTAAAGCGAAACGCGGTTTCCCATAGGAATGCATTGAAAACCAATTAATCCGTTCTTGAGGTCAGAAAAAAATCAAAATGAGCTGGCATGGAAACCAGCCCACAATGCAGAACACACACAGTAAAAGACATGCAAACGACAAAGATCAGCTCCCTACCTTTCTTTTTTTTTGTTGTAAATATAGCTTTTATTAGCAGTTCCGATAATAACAGAAAACAGTGCGGATATTGTCAGTGAGACTCGCAGGTCTCTAATTGTATCTTACTTGGGTACCACAGGTATCAGGTGGATCTTTATATAGCGTTATTGTAGGTGAAGGGTTGCTGGCCCATAACATTTAGGACAGATGGGTTCTATAGTTGGTCCCCAACCAAATGGTTAATAGTGCGGTAGGTCCCAGGTCACGTCTTCTAACGTGGGGAGTGAGACAGGGGTTTGTTTTGCGGGACTGGGTCCTGTAGTCTTGCACCAGGTCTGGAACTCCCTCTTCTGTCTGCCCTTTCCCTAACTTCAGTAGTGCCTGGGTATGTTGTGGGTTCTCTCCTGGGTCATCTACCCTCTCGTTCTGAGTCCGCATCTCTGCCTCATTTATGAGGCGATGCCGTTATAAAGGGGTGCTCAGTGGTGTGTTTAGTTGCCTCTGTCGTCTTGCTACCTAGTGGGCGGTATTTGTTGTCGTTCTCCAGTCGCTATCCACTTTTGGTATCTGTGGTGTGTCTGGAGTGTTTTCCCCCTTTGGGTGGGGGTGATGTGGTGTCTCGATGTTCGGTTGTGTCAGTCGTCTTGTGTTGTCTTATGTTTGCTTATTTATTGTAGGAGTTTCCCTTGTCGTGGGATCCCCCAACTTTATCAAGCGATGTCTCGCGGGTCCCACGTCCCATGGGGGAACCGTGGTGCCTTCTCGGGTTCTAATATTTTGTGGCCATGTTGCGCCAGGCGGTCCCTGGCCTCGCCCGGGAAAAAAGGAGGGGGAGAGGGGGGAGATAGGGTTGGGTGGGGGTGTCTGAGGGGGGGGAGCCGGGAGGTATGGGGCAGAGCCATGTTGTGGCATGGGTCTATCCTGACTCCTGAGTTAGCCGGTCAGGGCAGGTCTGGGGGGGGGGGGGAAATTGTGTTGAAATGCGCGTGTTGTTCTAGCTGGCTAGGATCCCCGTGTCCTCATTTGTTATGTGTATAGGTACCATGGCGTCCACATTTCAAGGTGTTTGTCCCTCCTCCCGAGTATCTCAGCATATCTCGCCTCAGCTGTGTGAATCTCTTCTATTCTCTGTAGCCATTCCGTTTTGGTAGGTGGCTGGGTTTGCTTCCATCTCGCTGGGATCAGTGCTTTGGCTGCATTAAGCAGGTGTCGTAGGATTGAGCGTTTGTATTGTGCCAGCTGTCCTGTGAAGAAGTGTAGGAGCGCGGCCTCTATGCTAAAGTCTGGTGGATCACCCAGAATTGTAGTGATTTCCCGGTTTACCTCTTCCCAGAATGGCTTGATCCCAGGGCAGTCCCACCAAATGTGGCGTAGGGTGCCTGGCTGCGTTTCGCATCTCCAGCAGGTATCCGGGACCCCCGGGAATATCCTGTGCAGTTTTGCTGGTGTTCTATACCACTGGGAGATCAGCTTGTACTTCACCTCTTGGTACCTGGTGCTTATTGAGCTTTTGTGTTGTAATATGAGAATTTGCGCCCATTGGTCGTCTGTGAAGGTTCTATCTGTCAATTCCTCCCACTGCCTCTGGAAGGCGTTGTTTCTGGAGAGTTCCCCTGTGAGCAGTTGTTGATATATGCCCGATACTCTGCCATCTGCCTCTGGAGAGCTCTTGCAGAAGTGTTCAAACCAGGTCCATTCTCTGTGTACTGCTCTCCTATTGGGCAGATTGTGGTAGAAGTGCCTCAGCTGTGCGTAATGAAATCGGTGCATTATCATCAGGCGGTCTGTGTCCGCCCAGTCTTGAAGGCTGCGCAGGCTGGTGTTTGTCAGGGCCGAGCTCAGGGGTACATAGCCCTCTTCTCTGTGTATTGGCCACGCGTTCGCGTGCAGTCCCCCTCCTATGGTTTCGTTATATGATAGGGGGATCAGGGGGCTTGGCTGTGGCGAGATGTGTGCGTTCCTTCGCAGGGTGGTCCAGGTTTTCAGCGTCTGCGTCACTGGGGATTCCGTACCCAGAGCTTGTGCAGCCCCTGTCGGGCGGTGCCAGATGTATGTGTGGAGTGCTCTGTTTGTGCTTTCCCTGTCCAGTCTCATCCATAGTTTGTTGGTGGGGGCTGTGTGCCATTCTCGAATCCTCTGGAGCACTGTCGCGTGGAAGTATCTCTGAAAGTCCGGAAGGGCCAGGCCTCCCCATGGTTTTGGCAGGCATAGTCTGTCATGTTTAAGCCGTGGCCTCCCCTCCTTCCAGACATACTTCGTTACCGCTGTTTTGAGCTTGGTGAAGAAGTCCTGTGGTAGGTGCCAGGGGATGGTGCTAAAGCAGTAGAGAAGGCGGGGGAGGTTGTTCATTTTCACCACCGCTATTCGGCCTTGCCAAGAGATGTGATCGTACGACCATCTCGTCAGGTCTGTCAGTACGCTGCGAAGGAGGGGTGTGTAGTTCCTGTCGTATGTCTCGCCCGGGTCACGGCAGAGCCAAATACCTAGGTAGCGCATCTGCTCCTTGCACCAGTGGAAAGGGAACTTGCGTTGGAGTCTCTCCTGTGTGTTCCTCGCGGTGTGTATTGCCAGATTTAGCTTAAGCCCTGATATCCGCCCGTATTGCTCGAACTCCCGTAGGAGAGCCGGCAGTGTGTTCTGAGGTTCCGTCACGAAAAAGAGCATATCGTCCGCGTATGCGGCCACCTTATGTGTCTGATCTTTCTGGCTGAATCCCTGGATCTCTGGTGTCCGTCTGATCTTGTCTAGAAATGGCTCTAACGTGAGGGTGAAGAGGAGGGGAGACAGCGGGCATCCCTGTCTGGTTCCGTTGTTGATGTCAAAGTTGGCTGTGAGTGCTCTATTTACCCGTACTCTGGCAGTTGGGTCGGTGTATAGTGCCGTTATCCAGGTGAGTATGCCGTTCCCCAGACCCATCGCCGTCAGCGCTGTCATCATGAAGCTCCACCTCACCCGATCGAACGCCTTTTCTGCGTCCGTGGAAAGCATAAGGAAGTCCGAGGTTCCTTTACGCACCAGGCTTTGTATGGTGAATGCCCGCAGGGTGCTATCCCTGGCCTCTCGTCCCGGGATGAACCCCGTCTGGTCTGGGTGGACTAGTCTCGGCAGGAATTGTTGCAGTCGCGTAGCTAGCACCTTGGAGAGGATCTTCACATCCACGTTCAATAGTGATATGGGGCGGTAATTGCCACAGATTTCCAGATTTTTGCCGGGTTTGGTAATCACTGTGATTATGGCTGCTAGGGATTCTCGGTGGAATTTACCTCTGTCTCGGAGGTGGTTGCAGGCGTTGGCGATGCGTGGGGCTAGGATGTCTCTGAACTTTTTATAATAGCCCGCCGAGAACCCGTCTGGGCCCGGCGCCTTCCCATTCTTTGTCGTTTTTATCACTGCCAGTATCTCTTCTGTAGATATCGGGGCGTCTAGGGCGTCTGCTTCCTGTGGGGACAGGGCTTCAGGGTTGAAGTCTCTGAGGTAGCGTGCGATGTCTCCTGCGGTTCTGGTCTCATCTGCGTCCGGTGTTTCGGGCGGTATGTTGTACAAGTCTTCATAGTACGTGCGGAATTCGTTCGCGATCTCCTCGGGGAATTGCGTAGTGGTGCCCCGGGTTGTTCGTAGTGCGCTCACCTGTGCACTTGTTTGTTGGTTCCGCAACATGCGGGCTAGTAGCCTTCCTCCCTTGTTGGCATGAATGTAGAAGAAGGCTTTTGATCTCTGGATTGTCCTGTGGTGTTTGCGGGCTATCAGGTCTGACAGTTGCCGTCTGAGGGTCAGAAGGGCGCAGTAGTGCGCCTCCTGTTGGGTCTTCTTGTGCAGCGTTTCCAGCGTTGCTATCTGTTCTACAAGTGCCGTCATTTGTCGTTGTGCTTCTCTCTTTTTCTGCGCTGATATCCGGATAAGTAGCCCCCTGAGGACGCTTTTGTGAACCTCCCACAGGGTCAGTGCGGAGGTATCTTCGGTGTCATTTTCAGTGAAGTAGTTATTCAGTTGTTCCACTAGTTGTGCCTGCGTCGTTACGTCGGAGAGGAGTAGTTCATTTAAACGCCATATGGTCCGGGTAGGTCTGTATAGGGGTGATTCCATGCGCATGTATACTGCGCTATGATCAGAACATGGGGTGGGGTGGATGTCTGCCTCCAGTAGTCTTTGCAGTCCTTCTTGTTGGATAAAGAGGTAATCTATTCTAGCGTACCTATTGTGCATGGCCGAGTAATGCGTGCAGTCTCGGTCTCCTGGGTGTAAGATTCGCCATGTGTCCACCAGTCGCAGGTCGTGCAGAGTCCTTTGGATCGTCCAAATGGCTGTTTGCGGGATGCTGCTATGTCCTGTTGAGGAGTCCAGGATCGGATCTAGAGGGGTGTTGAAGTCCCCTCCCACCACAAGGGCACCTTCCGTGAAGTTGGCGAGCTTGAAAAGTGTGTTCTGGAGAAATGTCGCTTGTTTGGTGTTTGGGGCGTAAATTGAGGCGAACGTGTACGTCTTCTGGGCTACCGTCCCCTTCACGAACAGGTATCTGCCATTCGGGTCGGCCAACGTGTCGCTCCGGTGGAAGTGAAGATTGGAGGCCAGGAGAATCGCTACTCCCGCCTTGCATGCTGTTGGGTGGGTGCTATGGAAGCTGTCTGGGAAGCGTCTATCCATCAATCGATGCGTTTCGGCCGCTCTAAGGTGTGTTTCTTGCAGCAGTGCTATGGATACGTGTTGCTTTTTCAGTTCCCGTAGGAGGTGCGTGCGTTTCTCTGGGGCGTTCAGTCCCCTCCAGTTCTGTGTGATGACTCGGAAGGGGGCATCTGTGAACGCCATGGCGTAAGGTCCTCGGAACTCCTGGGGTTGGAGTATGTCAGTCGCTATATTGGGGGGGTGGTGTTTTTTTTTTTTAAGGGGTTACGGGGGGGGGGGGGTTAGGAAGGAAGGAGTGGGAAAGCGCTTTCCGAGTCCGGGCGGGGCCGGTGGTCCCCGAGGCACCTAGGAGTGAGGGTGACCTGTGTGACTGGATCGAGTATCAGGTCCGCACCGTCTTCTAGATTTCTAGGACAGCCGCGGGTCTGTCTCCCCCAGTGGTTTGGTGAAACACAGGTCCTGTTGGGGGGTGGACCTGTCAAGTGGTCAGCGTGGTGAATACCTGTCTGCAGGTAGTAGTCTGGTGTCTGCAGGTAGTCATGTAGTGTCAGCCTAGGAGCTAGGTCCGGTCCCTACATATGCATGGGCTAGTCATGTGCGCTGTCTCTTTTCTTTAGTCAGCTCTAGGGTCACGTCTGGGTGTTTCCAGTTGGCTTAGGGTGTCGTGGTCCTCCCAATGTCATGGGCCGGTTTAGGCCGTGGTGGCAACCGCTATCTCCCGGATGAGTGCTCTTTACCATGAGCGTCCAGGGGGAGGGGGGGAGAGGCCGCAGATTGGCTTCTGCTATGTCGGACCGGGCAAGTCAGGTCTGTCTGGGTTAGGGTAGCCCGGTGGCCGGGTGTGGGTTCCCACTAATGTGTTTTGCCAGCCTATCTTGTCGGCGGGTCTGGGCCTTTCCATGTCAGTGTTACTCTGTTGTCCTGGGCTGGGTTAGGGGGTCACTGGGTGTGAGGTGTCATCACAGCATTCATAGGCATTGCATTAATTCTGAGTTTGACATTTTTCCCCCCACCCCTTGCCCCTCCTTCCATCCACCCCGCCTCCGCTATGCCCCCCTTCTGTTACATGGTATGAAGCCTTTTGAAGTACACTGCCCCCCGCCCCCCAGGCCCCACAACTTTATGCATTGTATTACTTATTACTATCTGGACTTGTCCAGGCCAGTCTCCAGTCCCATATAGCCCAGTTGGGTCAAGGAGGCATATATATTTGTTCCCAGAGCACAGTTCATTTGTGCAACATCCGGGCCCCCCCCCCCCAGAAGTGTCCCCAGTCCCCATAATAGCCAGATAGTGCTGGTGCTGGCAAGTCTCGGTGCCCTCTTTTAGAAATGCCTTCCCCCCATTGTGTTCCCCCTCCCAAAAAAGGGGAATTCGTGAAGGTTGTGTGCCTGTGGGCCAAGTGTGTGTCTCTGCTAAGTGTCTCGTGTGAGCCGTTGAGTTAGGTGTGCGTGTAAGGGCCAAGATGTACATGTGCTTGCGGTGGAGACTTATCTGGTGTCAGACGTCTTCTGGTATTCGGGGGCCTCCGGGTCATCCTGCGAGCTCTTCACCGGGAGGTGTGCTCCGAGCCAGGGTGGGCCAAGGGGGGGAGGGAGCAGGGGGCTGCCAGCCCCGCAAATCTTACTCCCCTGGGTCGCCGGGCTCTAGTTGTCTGCGGGCAACAGAGCGCCGCGTTGTCTCTTCTCTGTGTCGGCGTTGTTGTCTCGGCGTCTGCGGGCCAGATCTCTGTTCAGGTTGGCTCAGGATCCAGTTGGTGATTTCCGTGGGCGGTAGGCCTAGGCGCTGTAAGAATCTGGGTGCCTCCACCAGCCATCGCAGGGGCACCCATTCATTTTGGTGCCTGGCTAGGAGAGCGAAGGGGTAGGCCCACTTATAAGTGATCCTCCTCTCCTGTAGTCAGGGGCGGGCTGGGCCGGGGGGCAGGGAGGCAATTGCCCCCCAGGCCGCCCTAAAATCTGTTGGGACCGGCCGCTGCAGGGCCGGCCCTTTAAATGCTGCAGCCGCCTGAGCGCTCTGTTAAGAGCCTCAGGCGGCTGCGGCTGCTCCTCTCCTCCCCTCCCCTGTAGCGTGACCGAGCTGCTTGCTGGTCCGCGGTGCCCGGCCGGACTGATAGGAAGGCGCATGCTGAGTGTGCACTTCCTGTCAATCCGGCCGGTTACAGGAAACAGAAACTCCAGTTCCGCGCGGAGTTTCTGTTTCCTGTAACTGGCCGGACTGACAGGAAGTGCACACTCAGCGTGCACCTTCCTATCAGTCCGGCCGGCACCGCGGACCAGCAAGCAGCTCGGCCACGCTACAGGGGAGGGCAAGGGAGAGGTGGGAGAAGTAAGTGAAGGGGGGAGAAGTAAGTGGAGGG